GCTTCTCTGGTCTTCAGCAGGCCTTGGGTAACAGACATTTTGCAGAGCAGAGGGAAGGGACAGTGCCTGCGTTTCTTAGATTTTTCTGTTGCACATTAAGACCCCAGAACACAGCTCTTCGTCTCGTGTTTCTGGCTGCCTGTTTTTAGCCACAGCCATGAGTGAATCAGAAGAGGCGAATGGGAAGGGGTATGTGACGAGGGATCCCATGTGAATGAATGTTCCTTGTCTTTATTGATTTTGAGGAAGGAAACAGGCTGAGAGCATGGTAGTGGACATGCGTTGGGGTAACCGCTCTGGTTGTGTTCCCAGGGTTTTAGTCTGTGTGGTCGTGTCCCTTCTGTGAGTACAGGGAGAGGGAGAAGGACTGTGTCATGTCACTCTTACCTGGAGGAACCCCAGGTTCTTCAAGGAGTGCTCACTGTGTGTGGGGTTGGAGAGTTTGTAGCCCTTGCCTGAGGGCACTCCCCAGTCCGGGTAGAAAGCTGCAGTCCCTCCAGCTTGAGGTGTCAGAGGAAAGATATTGAGGCTGGTATAGCAGCTAGAAAGTTAGGAGGGAAATGCTGGAAGGGAGGGACCTGAGAACAGGAGCCCCAAGATCTGATAATCTACCAAAATCCCTGGCTGGTCATTAAACCTCATATACACAAGAAAGACCCTGAGGCTTCCAGCAAAAAAAAAAAAAATCCAGCATCCCAAAGCTAAATTCAGCTGCATGTCAGTTGCTGCTCACTACTGGAAAGACAGAGTTTGAAGTTTGAGTCCAACCAGGTTAACGGTCTGTTAGAACATGTATTCAGTAGAAATAATGGAATCTTTGTATCATTGGTCATGTCTGGTGTTCAATACAAAGTCATCAAACTTGCAATGAAACAGAAAAAAAGTCAAATTCAGAAAAAAATAAAGTCAATAGGAACCAACCTGGAGATGACTCTGATGTTACAATTAGCAGCTTTTATAAACATGGTCAGGGACTTAGAGGAAAATACGCACCAAATGAATGAACAGATGGGGAGCCTCAGCAGAGAAATAGACACAATAAAGAGGGCCAAGCAGAAATTCTAAAACTGAAAACCACGATAGCTGAAATGAACAAGTCACTGGACCCACTTTAATAGAAGATGCAGGTGGCAGAAGAGGGAGTCACTGACTTAAAGGTCATTCAGTGGAAGGAATATACCCAAAGGAACAGAGAAAAGAAAATGCCAGCAGAGCCTCAGACACATGGGGCCGTACCAAGGGGTCCAACATACGTGTAACTGGAACTCCAGGAGAAGAGAGAGAGAATGGGCAGAGGAAAAAAATGGTCCAACGTAGTGACCCCAGTCTATCTAAATTCCCAAACTTCTGTGATAAAACTACAAAATATTTTTGAGAAATGAAAGACCTCATAAATAGTGGTGTACATACTATGTTCATGGATTGGAAGATGATATCGTTAAGGTGCCTGGTCTCCCAGCGGGCCTTTTTTTTTTTCCTTTTTGACAAGATTATTGTAAAGTTTCTACAGAAATACAAAGGACCTTAGAATAGCCTTAAATAATCTCATAAAAGAACAAAGCTAGGGCGCCTGGGTGGCTCAGTTGGTTAAGCGACTGCCTTCAGCTCAGGTCATGATCCTGGAGTCCCGGGATCGAGTCCCACGTCGGGCTCCCTGCTCAGCAGGGAGTCTGCCTCTCTCTCTGACCCTCCCCTCCTCATGCTCTCTATCTCATTCTCTCTTTCAAATAAATAAATAAAATCTTAAAAAAAAAAAAAAAAGAACAAAGCTAGGAACTTAAACCACCTGGTTTTAGGACTTTCTATTAAAAAACGAAAGTACTCAAAACAAATTGCTTTTGCCACAGGCATAGGTGAGTAGGTCAACGGAATAGATTATAAAATTCCAAAATAGACCCACATTTCCGTGGGCAGTGGTTTTGGTCAAATGGCTCTAAGCAGTCCAGCGGGAGAGACAAAGTTTTCAAACAATTGACCTAAAACTCCTGAATGTCCCTGAGGAGAAATGAACCTCGATCTCCACCCCACACCATGCACGGAAATCTGAGATGGATCAGAGGCCTGAGCGTAAACACCAAAATTATATAGCTCTGGGAAGGAAAAACAGACAAACCTTGGCACCTGGAAAACAAAGCTTTCTTAGACAAGATGCAGCGATTTCTTAGATGGGACACAGGATAGAGTCAGGACACCATAGGAGAAAAATGTGATAAGCTAGGCTTTTTTTAAATTAAAAATGAATGTTTTTCAAAAGACACCACTAAGAAAATAAGTAGCCAAAGCCAGAGACTGGGAAAAAATTCACAAAACATACCTGACGAAAAACTTGTATCCAAAATATATAAAGAGCTCCATTTCTTTTTCTAATAAGAAAAAGGCAACTAATTTTTAGAAATGGAGGAAAAGTCTTGAGCAGGCCTTTCACAAAGGACGATATACAAATGTCCAGAAGTACACGGAAAATCCTAAACATTATTAGCCAATCGCGGAAATACAAAATAAGAGTGTAGCCATGTGGGCTCAGGAAGGGGGCCGCTGTGCTGGCGGTTGGCCCTCCCTGAACCAGGTGACCTTGAGGCTCCTCTCCAGGCCTGCCTTCAGTGATTTTTATTCATTTCATCAGCTCTTAGGATGTTTAACTGTCATGGGCCCCCCACTTTCTTCCCCCAGCCCATCAGAGCAAAGCCAAAGTCTGCCTCCAGACAGTGTGAATGGCCTCAGCTGCCTTTGAGGTGTCTAATTTAGCAGCCCGAAAGCGTCCCTGTCTCCCCTTGGTTCCACGCTGTCAGGATTCTCGACAATGGCTTTGTCACCAGCCTCGCTCTGCTGCACGACAGAAATCGGGGGTGGCTCGCACCTGCCAGAAAGAACCCTTGCCGATACTTGCCTGGACAACCAGTAATGTGGCGGGTGGGGTTTCCGGAGCTGTTTCCTTTGGGGACAGCGTCTGGAGAGGCAGGGGAGGTGACTTGGGTCAGCCCGAGTGACCCACCCAGCGGGACGGCCTCTGAGATGGTGAGTTCCTGCTGGTTCTCTGTCACCCTTGGGGTGCTGCCCTGCACTGCAGTGCGGGGCCCCAGGACCGCCATCCAGACAGAAACAGCCACGGGCTCTCTGCCTCCAAGGGTTTGTGAGGTTAGAAAGGATCGCTGTTTTTCAAGTACCTAACAGGTGTGTTGGCCCAGAAGGGCTCACTGGTGGGTGGTGGTTACCGAGTCCGTGTGCTGGTCTAGCGCAGTGTGACCTGTCCCCTGCCTGTCCCCTGCCAGCTTCTGTTCTGTGGCCAGCATTGGGCGGCTTCCTCACACCTGGAGGGGCACAGAGTAAAGCACCCAACGCGGCGGCCTCCTCTCCTTCCCTGCTCGTCGGCTGCCTGTGGGGGTCTCATCAAGTCGGGAGCTGGCTCACCTACCCCCTGCCTGAGCCCCTCAGAGGGAAGCCCAGATGTGTCACCCCAGTCACGCTCGGTCTCACGGGGAGACACCCAGGGTTTGGGGGGAGACCCCTTCTGTCTGGCTGCAGAGGCCTTTCCTGAACACAAACTCTCCCTCCCTATCTCAAGTAGATCTGGAATGATCTCTCCCCACCCCCCACCCTCCCAGCCTGTCAGATGACAAGCTGGGTTTGGGATGGTGCCAGAAAACCATTCATAAGAGCTGCTGGGTATCATTTCTGCTCTCTCTGTCTCCTGCTGCCCCCTGGCCCTGAATTCTGGCCAGTCGGTGCCGTGGGGTGGGGAGGTACTCTGCGGCATCTCCGTGCCTTCTGGAAATTAACTTTGCCAGGTGCTGCTTTGAGCGTGGGCTCTGAGATGTGTCTGAACCCATGCATGAATGGCTCGGGCTTCCAGGGCGGGCTGGCCCCCGAGTACCACCTGCCCTGGGGATGGGCCCCACAGCAGACTGCAGAGCTGGTCAGCCCTGGGCGCAGGGCACGGTTGCCCCACTGCATGTGGTTGGATTGGCTCATTTGCTGATGTGAAATATTTGCTGAGCACCTACTGTCTATGGGGAACGGTGCTCAGAAGGGGTTAAGAAGTTGGGTTTTGTCCAGGGAAGAGACAGGCTCATCCACAGACACTTAGAAAATAAAGGGAGAGGGCGCCTGGGTGGCTCAGTTGGTTAAGCGACTGCCTTCGGCTCAGGTCATGATCCTGGAGTCCCGGGATCGAGTCCTGCATCGGGCTCACTGCTCAGCGGGGAGTCTGCTTCTCCCTCTGACGCTCCCCCCTCTCATGTGTGCTCTCTCTCTCTCTCTCAAATAAATGAATAAAATCTTAAAAAAAAAAGAAAAAGAAAAGAGTGGGAGATACAGCAAGAGGGATGCACTTTGAGAGCACCGGGGGTGGAGGGAGGGGTTCTGGATCACAGACTGGGCTGGGGATCCCTGAGGGCCTCCTGGAGGAGTTGTCCTAGGATCCACATCTGGCAAGGCCGAGGGGACAGCCTGTTGGAGTAGAATCAGAGCGTGGTCAGGAGCCAAAACAAGATTGGTTAGAGTATAAAGTGAGTGGTGATTTCCTTACACTCGTTCTTAAAGCCGTATCACAAGCTCCATGTCCCTCTCCACTCACTCGGCTTCCTTGTCACCTGGTAGGGAAGGCGTCCATGTGTGAGCTCGGCTCCTTGGCCAGCATGCCTCCACTGTAGGCGCCGGCGATGCCCGGGGTGGACCGAGAGCACTCGGGGCTCCAGGTCATGGGCCTGGCGGCGTGAGTCCCAGCATCACTACGAGGGTGGAGAAGTGGGGGCGTGGTCACAGTGGGTCCTAGAAGTGGGGCAGGCAGAACACGAGGGGATGCCTGGTGTAAACACAGGGAGGCCCCGGGAGGCAGGTACACCAGCCCGTTCTGTGGACCAGAAGCTGGAGGCCGAGCAGGAAGGGCTCACGGTGGTCCCGAGCAGCCCTGCTCCTCCCTGCGAGGCCCCTGGTGCTGTGTCCCCGCGCAGACCTGGCTGGCCCTGGCTTCCATGTGTCTGACTGGCTTCCCTCCCACGCAGCGAGCATGACCTCGGGGAGGACATCTATGACTGCGTCCCGTGTGAGGACGAGGGGGACGACATCTATGAGGACATTATCAAGGTGGAGGTACGGCAGCCCATGGTAAGCTATCCCTCACTCGCAGCGTGGCCCCCACTCCAAGAGCTCAGAGCCTCCGGGGGGCGGGGGGCGCTCTGTGGCAGAGGGAGCTCCCGAGGCTGCACCCCAGCCCTTCCCAGCCCCTGCGGGCTTCCTGCCCGTCCTTGGGCCCAGGCCTCCCTACGGGATGTTCCGAGGAGCCTGGGATGTGATGCTGTTGCCCTGGGATTCTCCGGAGGGTGTGCCAGATTCCAAGTCCTTCCTGCCTGGGGAGTCTGAAAATAGCGCCTGGCTGCTCAGGCGCACGGAGCGCGCATCATTTTACTCCTTTGTGCGGAGAGCGAGGAGACCGCTGCCGGCTCAATTAGCCAGCTGTGCATCTTTTATGTGGCGAGGATATTTATTTCCCAGTCGGTGTTGGCTAATAATCTCTCGGACTCCGGTTCGCTGCCGGGTGGGCTGATGGCCAGCAGCTGCCGTGCGGAGGGTGGGGGTCCTGTCGGGCCGGGATGGGGAGGTTGGGGCCCTGGGGGGGGCAGGCTACAGCCCCCTGGGTCCCCACGCTCCTGGGGGGTGGCCCAAATGCCACTTGCCAACTGTGGAGGCTTTTTATGCTGTTTGCTTTCCCTGAAGAAAGGGGGGGAGTTTCTCAAGAAGCCAATTTCAGTGTTTTCCTGTGGTGTGGGAGTAACCAGCTGGTGGTGGAGAAACAAAGCTGGGACGACGGCTCCCCAGCAAGGCCTTTCAGAGAGGCCTTTCCCGGCCTGGTGGCATCTGCCCTCCACTGGCATCTCGCCAGGAGGAGCACAGAGAAACATGGCAATGGGCTCACAGCCCCCAAACTCTCTCTTCGGGACGGAATGGGTTTCTTGTTTCGCTCCTGAAGCGTCTGAGGGGTCCCCACCATTACCAGGGGCCTCTCTCTGTGACCCCAGGTCTGCCCAGGGCCAAAGCTGCCCTTCCCCCAGGCAGCCTTGCAGTGGGGCAGCTCTGCCCCTGAGCCTGTCCAGGGGGCCAGTTATGGGGCTGGAAGGCCAAGCCGTTGCCCCGCTGACGGAGACCCTCTGCTTTGCCCTCCTGGAGCTGGCCTGAAAGCCCAGCCAGCCCTCTGGATTTGGGGCCCCCTCACTCCCAAGCCCTTTGAAGTTGAGGGTCCTGCGGGGAAAGCGGGAGCAGTGGATGCAGTGGCCCCGGGCCCTTGTCTGGAGGTCCCCTCGCCTCCAGGCTGGAGACGCCCCTGAGGCTCCGTCTGTGCCTGGCCTGGTGAGACCCCAGAGTGGGCAGTCCCCAGAGCCTGCTGCTGTCCCTGGTCCTGAAGCGCACAGGGCAGGCCCCGGGCTGTTTGCAGGACCTGCGGGGGCCGTCGGGGAGACAGGCTGGCATCCCGCCTGCCCTGCTCTGCTCAGTGTCCTGACTGCGCTCCGTGCTGCTCACGAGCTGTCCTGTCAGTCTCTCAGCGTGGGCCTCCGTCCCCCTGCCCGTCCTCCAAAATAAAACAGGTTTTACTTCCTCCCCGGTCATGTCCGGGGCTATCTGAACAGTCAAAGTGGAAGGTAGATGGAGACCTTTCCAAAGGAAGATAAAGCCAGAGGACGGCAGGTGCCGCTCTCAGAGCCCACACGTGAGGAAGGGCCGGGTGCCGTCCCTCCCCATGCAGCCAGGCTGACACTCGGGCGGGCGGGCCGAGGACTGTGACAGGATCCTGGGGCTGTTGGGTAAATGCAGACAAGCATCCCTACCTCCCAAGCACAGCCCGGATAACGAGCTGACACTGCTAATTGGTTCTCTCTGTGATTATTTCTCCACGCTTTCAGATAAGATACATGCAGGTAAGTGGCAGGTGGAGGGAGGCCCGGGTAAAGACAGCCAGCACTGTCTTCCTCCACCTCGCAGAGCGGTCTCAGATCTCTTGGAAAAAGCCTGGGACCCTGTCCGCAGCGAGATACTGTCAGGCCCTACAGTCTTACACATGGTTTTAGGGGGATCATGGGCCCCCAACACTCCCCCCCAAAGCCCCGAGAGCAACAGTGTAGCGCCCAGGCCACAGGGGGCTTGGGAAGGAGCCCTGGGGGCCCTCCTACCTGACCCTGGTCCCCTGGGTGATGTGCCCCCTCTGACATGTTTCTGTGGAGCCCTCGGCCCCAGCAAACACCTGGGGCATTTCTTCGGGGAGGAGGATGGTGTTAGGGCAGATAGGAGTCCACATGGCATGTCACGTGGCCCAGCCCTGTTTTCCCAGAGCCTCACTTAGGGACCCATGTGGCTCGCTCAGCCTAAAAGGACGTGAGGAGAGGGTCTAGAAATCCAGAGAGACTCTGAACAGTGGCCCCACCTGCAGCTTCATCCCCTCATCCCTGTGGCCACAGTCTCCTGGTCAGTCCTACCTCTGGCCACGTTCCCCTCGGAGGTGGGGAGCAGGCCCTGCCGCAGTAGCGAGCCCCCGGTGGCCCCTGCCATTGAGCTGGTCCCTCAGGACCCTAAGTAGAGGCCAGGAAACCCTGGGAAAGCCCAGCCCTGCACTAATAGGTCGATGCTGGGTCAGCCCCTCTGTTGGCGGACACAGGTCCTCAGGGAGCTGGTCAGAGCCTTTCCCTGTGCACACAGTAGGCACTTTAAGCATGCCCCCCCCCTGCTGTCTATGCTGGAGGGGCTGGCTCCTGAGGGCCCCACACTGGTCTGGTAAAATCCAGAATAGGGTCGCAGGAGCCCAGATTCTAGAAGCTTCCGTGCTTTTCTCCAAGCTGTTGCCAGTCCTCAGGTTCATGCCACACACACCCCCCAGTGCCTCAGTTTCCTCATCTGCAGAAGTTGGGGGAAGGGTTTGGGCCCCCTTCTGTCTCCTATCCCGTCCTCCATGTCACCCTGGTGACCCTGCGGCCAGGCCTGGCTCACGTCTTGTGTCTTTCCTTTAGAAAATGGGCATGTCCGAGGATGACAAGAGGAATTGCTGCTTATTGGAGATTCAGGAGACCGAGGCCAAGTACTACCGGACCCTGGAGGACATCGAGAAGGTGGGTGCAGGCCCCTGCCCTCTCCCGGTGCCACTGGTCCCCTGGGGTGTGGCTGCCACCAGGCACCCCCTGCCCTCCACTCCCCACGCAGGCTGCAGGCTCCAGCCCGCCAGTGTCCTTGTGGGCTGTCACCCTCGTCCCCAGTCCCATCCCCAGCCCTCAGCCATCAGCCTGTCCCGGGACCGTCCTGAGCTTGTCTCTGCGGCTCCTTCCCGCCTAAGGGGGGCATTAGTATGTCTTCCACTCCTGATTGCACTGGGCTAAAGCTCCTGATGTGTACTCTCTCCTGTAGGCTGGGCGCTAGGTTAAGCGCTTTGTGTATACCTTCTCCCCTAAGGCATTCTCTGCCCTCAGCTTCCCACTCTGTAAATTGGGGTGATAGCAATACCACCCCGTAAGTGGCTGTGAATGTCCTGCCGCCAGGACATAGGCCCCATGATGTCAGCCTGCGGCACCCCCACGGCAGACCCTGTGCCCCCCGAATGGCTGGTCAGTCCTCTCTCCCTGCTGGCCTCCCGAGCTCCTTGAGGACCACGGATGGGCCTTCTCCTGCCCCCACCCCGCTCTGGCCTCCCGTGGACACTGGCTCAAGGACATTTCCCTGTCACTTGAGAATCCTTGGTGCCAACTGCCTGTGCTTACTGGGTGAAAATCCAACGTTGTTTTTAAGGGAGAACCTCCCCGGCTCTTCTTTGTTTGTAGTGCCATGGCGGGGCTTCTTGGGGGCATCTCTTTGGATGGCAGGTTTAGGGCCGTACTTGGGTCTGAGTTGGGTGGGAAGTGTGGCCCTGTCCCCTTGGGTGATGTGCTCACTTCTCTGGCCTCAGTTTCCTGAAATGTCTCAAATAACCATTGCAGCACCCACCCTGGGTTGCAGTAGGGTTGAAGTCCAGCCTGTGGGACACCACAGAGCTTTGCCCACGTGGTGGGTGTGGGTGCTTGGCTCCATCATCCCCAGCCCCGCACTCTTCCTTGCTGTAGTCACCCCGCAGAACAAAGCCCCCATCTCCCCAGAATGCATGCATTCTCCAGCGACACCGGGCCCTGGTGGTGCTCCAGGCCTGCGTCACCGCCCCACAGAGAACCCCTGGCCCCTGCACCTTGGTGGGGTCGTCAGAGCCCCCTCCTCCACTGACGGCTGTGGCCTTGAAGGGGGGTGGCACCCCCTAGGCAAGCTGACAGTGGGGACTTCCCTGTTCCAGAACTACATGACCCCCCTGAGGCTGGTGCTGAGCCCGGCGGACATGACAGCCATCTTCATCAACCTGGAGGTAAGGGTCCCAGCCCGTGGCTCAGTGTCTGCAGCCTCAGGCTCCCAGCCGGCTCAGATGTCAGGCAGGCTCCCACCTGACTGTCCCTACGGGGCCTGGGGAGCTGTGTCCCTGCCAGGTGCATGGTTGGTTGGTGCTCCAGGGTGCTTTTTGGACTGACCGGTAGGAGGGGAGTAGCCACCCTTCCCTCTGAGAACTTTGGCCTCAGGAGACAGGAGGACGAGGTTTCTGCGAGCTTCTCCAGCTTGCTGTCTGTGTTGTGGGTGTCGCTCAGACACACGTGCCCTAGGTTTAGGTTTTTGTCATTAGCCAGAGAGAAATGTGTCCCCTCCAGCTCTTCGAGAAGGGTCCCCTACCTGCTCTGCACACGTCTGCACACAGACACAGGATGGTGATGGCCTCCAAGAGGCTCACCCTGATGTGGTCAGCAGAGCGGGGAGGGGTTGGCGGGAGGCTCCGGAAGCTGCACACTCATGAGCTCGAGGGGTGGGTGCTGGTCTCCCGGGGGAGGCTGAGCCAGACTCGGGAGGTTCTAGTGCTCTGTGCCCCCTACCTGGAGTTTGTCCTGCCGCGTGTGGTGGCCAGCACAGACGGCTTTGGACAGGATGGGAGCCGGACTGGGGGCTGTGGGGAGCCCCGGAGTGCTGCCTGCCGGTCGCCCGGCTGCTCTGAATGTGGACAAACACCTGTCCCCACAGAGAGAGTCTGCCTCCAGAGTCCCAGACCAGGGCAGAGCGCCCCTCTGCGCCTGCACACAGCGGGAGGGTAACAAGGATGCTGGGTGGCAATAGCCACCCAGGGCCGTTGCGGTCCCATTCTGGCCCTGGGGCCTGCGCTGGGTCGGTCACCCTGTGTCCGGATAGGCCGAGCAGGTCCCCTCCTGCGCCTGGCACTGCAGCACCTTCTAGTGGGATGAGACCCTGGTGTTTGCCTGGGGACGCGCGCCTGGCCCCGGGCCCCTCACACGCGTGTCCGCAATCGCACCAGGAGAGAGCGATTCAGGGGCGCGTGGCCCTTCCAGCCTGGCGCACCTGGTCATGCACTAACTGCTGGTTCTTCCCAGGACCTGATCAAGGTGCATCACAGCTTTCTGCGGGCCATCGACGTGTCCATGATGGCGGGGGGCAGCACTCTGGCCAAGGTCTTCCTCGATTTCAAGGAAAGGTGAGAGTGGCAGGCCTGCCTTGCCCATCCCTCCCCGTCCTTGGGGCCTCAGGTTCTGCCCTGGGGACAGGGCCGAGCTGGCCAGTTGGGATTTACTCGGGTGTGAGTCTCATGGTGAGGTCCTCGAGGGCCGTGGCTGTGCCCCCACGAACCCCTGTACTCACTTGTAAACCGAGAGAGCTGCCCACCCTTCCCACCATCACAGCCTGGAGGGGTGATCTCCCCCCGCAGCAGGGTCTGGATGGGCGGAGGCCTCCACCAGCTCCCTCTGCCTCTGTGCCCAGGGGTGTTGGTGGCCCAAGGGCGTTCTCACCAGCACGGTGCACCTCCTGTGTGCCCGCCCCACGGGCATCCCACACCTGGGAGAGTCTGCCCCCCAAGCTCTAGGCCTGGCTGGGGTGAGGGCACGTGGCAGCCGCTTAAAGACAGAGGCCAAACCCGCCCCTGCAGGGCTGAGTACGGCGCTTCCAGGGTTGAGGCCACTTCCCTGCTTCCTTGTCTGCATCTGTCACAGGACCTTGACTTCCTAATCCGTCCCTTAGGGACCAGGATGGCATCTGTGCCACGTGGTGCCACCAGGTTCTTGTCTGTGCCACCGAAACAGCTTGTCTGTGTCCACTGAAGGGCTTCGGTGGCCGGGCAGGCGGAGGGCCTGGGCCAGGTGGACGGGCTGGAGGGCACACAGCGCAGGACTGCCCTGGCATAACGCAGCCCCAGCCCCCAGTGTGGGGAGACAGCGCTTCCAGTGCCAAAGAGGGCGGTCCTGGACCCTCCGATCGTGCCCCGGGTCCCTCCACGTCTCTGTGGCATCGGGGCCAATGTCCACGAAGCCCGAGGGGGCGTAGATTCTACGCATCAGGCGGCCTCTCTCCTCCCCCCGGCGTCCAGCTGGTCAGGCTGAGTCTAGACGCACAGATGGTGCTGGCCTGCCTACGGCCAGAAATGTGCCTGCAGGAATCGTGCCCCTGAATGCAGCTCCTCCGACCGTCCGGGCCCCTCGTCCAGAACAGGTGCTGTCGGTGGAGGAGGGTGACAGCTCATTAGAAACCAACACAGGGTCCTTTTTAAAGAAGAGTCACATCGCTGTTAGGAGGCCTCCGTGACTCTTTGGTTGTTGGCTTTAAGCTCCTCTGCCTGTAACTGTGGTGGGTGGAGGGGTATGGAGCCGCCTTCTGTGCCCCAAAATGTTCTGCCGGAGCCCGGCAGGGGAGGACTGGGGTTCTGGAAGCTTTTAAGTAGGTGCGAGGGGCAGCTGTCAGGACGGCTCTGCCGTCTCCACCAAGGCCTTGGCCCCCGAATTCCTTCATGGAGCCTGGGCAGCCGCGTCTTTAAAGCTGGGGACAAAGTCTGATGACGTGAGGGCCCGGCCGGATGCCCAGTGCTGCCGGAGGACAGCGGTCCAGCCACTGAAGTCTCAAGAGGTCCATCGGGAGATGATGCCCTGCCTTCTGTCCTTCAGGCTTTGGAGAGGCGCCAGAAGGTTCTGTCTTGACGGGTCTTCTGGCCAGCTACTGATCAGAGCCAGCTGGGAGCTCGTTAAGAATGCCAGTTCTGGGGTCCACTCTGCCGGGTGGGAGGGGGAGGCCCCCAGCGGCTGGTTGGGAGCCTGGGTCCATCTCGTCCTCATCTGTGGGGAGACTGTCAGGTGACCATCAGCTTGGATCATGCGCCCTCCCGGCCAGGCAGCCCATCCCTGGGCTGGATTCCAGGTGCCCCCGCCTATGAGCCCCTGAAGGGGCTTCCCCTGCATGCCCTGTGACCCAGGCAGGGACCCCTGAGCCTGCTTTCTAGGGGCCATGGGCTGGGCATCAGTAGGGAGGCGTGAGGGAGCAGGAAGTGCCCGACGCAGGGGGCAGATGTGAGTCCGCTGGTGGGCCCCAGGGGCGGGGGGAAGGCCGGCTCCCTTACCCGCCCCCTGTCCCAGCAATTCCTCTCACCTGGCTGCGAGCCCGTGTGCGGGGGGAGCCAACTCAGGCTGGAGCTGTCAGATGCCCCCTCGCCCTGGTGGCGGCCCATCGCATGCTTCTCCTCCATCCTGGGGAGCCCAAGCAGGGCTGCTTCTGAGGCCTGTGGACCCACCCCCGGGGCAGTAGCAGCAGGCCGCGTGGCCAGGGGACAGACGGACGACTTGCCCTTCCCTGGGAACCTCTGTGTCCCGGGCCTGCCCTAACAAGGGCACTGGCCTCTGCACACAGCTTTGGGCCTCACCTGGCTCTCGGGTCTTGCTCCCGCTGGGATGACCATTGTTTCTGCCCAGCAAGGCCTCAGGGGCCGGACCCTCGAGTTGCGGGCCACTTGGGGAGGGGCCTGGCTACATCCCATCGGAGTTCATGTGCCCAGTCCCTTAGTCTGTCCCTGCGTCCATCTTTTCTGCCCCTTTGCCTTATTTCTGAGTCCGCACCTACGGTCCTGCGGTTCATTTACATACCGATTCCACAAGCATTTATAGGGTGCCCACTGTGTACAGAACAGCCTCGGCTCTCACTGGGCAGGGAGGGGCAGGAAGGGACAGGAAGCAAGTTCACAAAGGAAACGAGAGGACGGGAAGAGGGAGAGGAACAGGGTGCTGAGGACCAGGGTGAGAGGCAGAGAGCAGGACTGTTTGGGAAGCTGCAGAGGCCAGAGGAGCAAGCGTGAATCAGTCAAGAGGAGATTGTCTAAAGCCTGGCTTGAGGCTTCTACAGGAGGCTGGAAGGCCGAGTTTAGATTTTTTTTTATAAGGGCAGGAGGAAGCCACTGAGGAATTCTTGTGGCAAGATCCTGGCAGCTCATCACAGGTGGAGGCTTGAGTAGCATCCAAGTGTGGTATGACCAGTGCCAAGTGGCAGAAGACAATCACCTCCCTCTTTTTGGAGCTAATACTTCCATTAATACAGCCTCAGTCCTCAGACAAGGTAGATGCTCCTCTTAACCTTGGCCTGAGGGGACAAGTCCCACGCAGTGGGAAGTGGAACTTGGGGAAGATATGCATTTTGCAGATGTGGATGTAACAAAGAGCCACGTGGTTTTTATCTGTGGCTGGGGTTGGCCAAACTTGGTCAGTGGGTCAGGCTAACGGACGACCAGTGGAACCGGCCACAGGGACTTTGTGGTCCAGCGAGAAGGCAGGGGTCTAGCTCTTAGCAGGAACTCCCTGGAGCTTAGCACAAGTGCTTCTAGGAAGGGCAGCCATCAGAGTGAGATGAGAGGCAAGTCCCCGCCCGCCTGAGGACTCAGGAGTATTTAGAGAGAAGGGCTTTGCCACAGCTGAGCACTCTGTGCTCTGTGCTTTCCAGCTGCTCAGGGTGTTGGGCTGGGTGATGCTGCCCTCTGGTTGCAGCTCCCGCCTGCGGGCCGGGGTCTCGGGGAAGCTGGGTGATCCCCGTCAATGCTTGCAGGAAGAGAGCCCACCCATATCCAGGCTCCTTGAGCCCCTGTGAGGTTCTGCACGGAGGCCTCCTCTGGCAGGGCTGCCTGGGACCCTCTGACCTGAGAGGGCTTTGGCCCCGCTCCTCCCAAGCCTCCTTGCCCAGATGGGGACATCGGGGATTGGAACAGCTTTGGTGACTTGGCTGCGGTCCCGGCTCTGTCCCGTGTCGTCCGTGCATACCCAGCAGCGCCGCCTGTGTCTGGTCCCCGGGCACCGTGAGAGTTTGGAGTTCTGTGACAGGAGACGGGCAGGTCGTGCCCCCCCATAGATGCACATATGCCCCCCTGCAGTGGGGTCCGAGTTGCGTGTTCAGGAGGTTACACGACATAGTCATACAGACACACAAATACCTGCCCGCTCGTGAGGGAGGGACCCAGAGCCTGACGCCGCGCATTCGGAGGACGGAACGAGACGCTGGTGTGCCGAGCTGGTGGGGAAGGCAGGCACAGACGGGGTGGGAACACCGGACGCGCGCCACTGGGGTGTCTTCAACACGGCCGAGCGCGGCACCCCAGCGGTCTCCCACACGCGGGCAGCGAGCCAGGGCCCCGGACACCGCCTCACCGCCTCGCCTGGGGTCCGGGTGGCCGAGGCAGCCTGTTTTTGCAGGTGCCCCACTGAGACCTCGAACCGTGAATGAAGTCCTGTGTGTGTTGCTTTACTTCCAAAAGTTGGATAAGTTTCCTCAACAGCACAAGATGTTTGTGGCTAGAATTGAGGCCTACCAGCTCTCACTTCCTTAGCTGACTTCCCTCCACAGGCCGAGAAGGGACCGTGTGAGGCCCCTGCTGCCCGGCCCACGGCAGGGCCCAGACCATGTGCCGTGGACGGCGGGGAGAGGCCTGACGGTCCTGACAGAAACGTATCCTCTCTCAGTTCTGGGGCCGAAATCCAGTGTGGGCAGGGCGGCGCGCCCTCCGGAGGCTCTAGGGAAGGAGGCTTCCTGCTTCTGCCAGGTGCTGGTGGCCCCCAGTGTCCCTTGGTTTGTGGCCCCCCCGCCAGTCTCTGCTCGGCCCTCATGCAGCTCCTCTCCCATCTCAGGCCGCCCACGGGGTCGGCGGCGGTGAATGAGGGCTCAGCCCTGGGGTGGCCTGGGTCTCCAGCATGGGGGCCCGGAAGACTGGTCTGGGGGCCCCATGGATGCACTTAGGGGTCTGGCCTTGCTGCTCCCTTGCTGGGTGACCTTAGAAGTCATGTCACCTCTCAGAACCTCAGGGGCGCTGTCCTGGAAGTGGTGTTTTGTGAGGACAGGCTGAACTCAGGTGCGAGTGCGTCCCACGGCCCCACCTCTTTCTGTCCTTCAAGCTTTGCCCTCTTCCCCACAGGGGCCTCCTGCCTGCTGGGAATAGCGGTGTCTTCACTGCCCGTGCTCAGGCAGGCGGGGTGGGGTCTTGGGTGCTCACAGCCACATGTCAGGCCTCTGAGCAGGCCAGGCCTCCAGGCTGGATGTTGGGATGTGGGGACAGATGAGACCCATCCCTGGAGCTTAGAGCAGGTGGAGAGGGGGCTGGTCTGCTTCTGCCTCGCGCTTGGCTTTGGACGGGTCTGTGCCCAGAGGCTCCCCGCCTGTCCCCTTGCTTTTCTGTCTCGCCCCCACTAAACCCGGGGACAAGGTTGGGAGGGGAAAGGAGGCAGGGCTAAAAATGATGGGGCAGGGTTTTGAGGGATGAATAGAAGTTTGCTGGCCAGAGAAGGTTGCAAATGCAGTGTGGGGCTCCTGCGTGTGCTGTGAGGAAAGCAGGATTGGGACCCACTCTCCATACACCCTGTCTGCCAAAAACCTTGGGCCGAGATGAGCCAGGGTGTGCTGAGGTGAAGGGGGGACCCCGAAGGCTGGCTTGGCCTGTTCCAGAGCTGCGGGCCCCAGATGCTTAGGAGAAGTGCTCTCGCTGGTCACATGGACTTCCGTGGGAGCGGCTGGGCCATCACCAGGAGGTCTGCTCATTCAAAACAACTTGACAGGAACCTTGGAGTCTCCAGTCCCCCAGGTGCTCCCAGAGATGATGAGATTTAATCAGTTTTTATACTAAAAATTTCAATTTAATAACAGACTCATTTAAGTGGAAACCAGGGCTCAGGTTCTCATGCAGAGTGGTGCCTGGTTGGAGTGTGGTGGGGCACGGCCATGGTGCCTTCTACTTGACAGTGGCGGGGAAGGTGGGCTTCTGTGTGAGGCCGGGGACCGGATCCGTCTCTCGCTGGAGTCCTAGAATCTCAGCCTCTTGATGCTGGAAGCTTCCCTGCAGGCTGGCACCGGCAAAAAGCCTCCGGGCGGCTGGAGAGTGTGGCAGCAGCTCGGCCGGGCATGCAGGCTGGGGAGGCTCCGAGCACACACAGGCCCAGCGCAGCTTGGACGCTGGGCGGGAGCCGGGAGATGCTTCACGATGTGTTCTCTGTGCCCACCTCGGGGCCGCTCTGAAGTCACAGGCTCGCTGGGTTGAAAACATGCTCAGAGCGTGCTGCTTTATTCCTCCAGAGTTGGGAGGAATGTGGGTGTTGTCTGTCCCCAACGCCCCCGGGCCCTACAGCGGGAGCCAGGGGAGTACCCCAGGCCAGGATGCTTCTCAAGAGCCCGCCTCCTCGGAAGCCCAGCCAGCTCCAGGCCCAGCCACCTGCCCCTCACCCCTCGCCAGGTGCCCATGGGGAAGCAGTGTCCACGGAGGACAGAGATGTGGTCCTGAGCACATCTGGACTCATCTCAGAGGCTGTCTCCAGCTCCCAGAGCCGGGCGGGAGGGGCCTCCAGACGTTTGCTGTCCTGCAGCCCTGCAGGGTGTCACTGGAGGCCTTGGACAGGGCCCAGCCTCCCGAAGAAGCTACGCTGGCGGCCAGGCCCTCACCTGTTCTCAGCTGGTGTCTCTTAGCAAGCTCACTGGGGCCTCAGTTCCCTGCCTGAAGAATGGGGCTAATTGCCCCTCCCTTTGTAAGTGGGTGAAGGACTCATGATGGTGTGCGTGAAGCACTGGGCAGGAGTGGCTCCCAAAGGTGCTGGCTGTGGGCAGCATGCTTGTTACCTTGGTCCTCCTGAGGCCGACTCCGTAGTCGTGGGATGAGGTTTTCAAAGATGAAGTGTCAGGTTACTGACCCAAGGCCTGGAGAGCATTGGGCTCCTGGTGCCAGGGGCTCGGTCTGCAAAGTCTGTGGTGGGGGTTGGCCGTAGTGTTAGGGGGTGTCGGGCAGGAGAGCGTGGCCTGAGGCTGCTCCCAGCACCCCCAGGCCCACGTGGCCACATCCATCCCCCGGGTGTGCAGCATTCAGGGCTGACGTCACACTGCCCTGAGAGAGGGGCTGCCTGGGACCCAGGTAGAGAGCGTCAGTGTCATGTAGAAGCAACAAGGGCCGACCCCGGGGCCCCCATGCCCTGAAATGTCGGCACGGGGGCCACCACCCCAGGCAAGCGCAGAGAGCCAGGATGGGCCTCAGTGCTCAGGGCCTGCAGGCAGGAGTTGGAGCCTTCCTGGGGTGTCCCCCAGCCCTGAGGAGGTGGGGGCTTCTCTCCTGGCCAGCTTTGGCCTTTCCAAGGGGCAGGATGGAGGTGGCAGTGAGAACTCCATTCCAAACCCGGTCCTGACCTGAAATAGAACCATAGAAGGGGGACCTCCTTGGGTTTGGGGTTTGGGGAGAGTAGGGAAGCCCCTCTCCTGGCCCGTCAGTATTTTGGGAGGGGAGAAGGCAGCCACACGGAAAGAACAGAACCACGATGCCGGTTAACGAGTGAGGAGCTATCACGGGGAGAGACCCATTTGCCGTGTGCTTGCCGTGCCCTCTATGGGGAACTGGAGCGCGGCCCCCAGAGCCGCAGGGTCTCATAAGCTGTGTGCACGTGCGCTCACTGTCCAGGCTCCTGATCTACGGGGAATACTGCAGCCACATGGAGCACGCTCAGAACACGCTGAACCAGCTCCTCGCCAGCCGGGAAGACTTCAGACAGAAGGTCGAGGTAATGGGGGCTTCCCGGCTGGTCCCCTGTTCACCGGCCCCTGCTTGTCCATTTTGTGGAAAGGTGGACCCCAGGGTAGCAATGGGATGGTTTCTGTAGATGTTTTTCTCGATGATTTTTTCCCCTTTGCGGGGAGGCAGGTGCAGTGCAGGTCACTGTCCCAGGCCCGAGTCCCCTGGGTGCATCTGACTCCTGGGCCAGATTCAGCTCAGCAAGGGGCTATGACCTTGGTCTTCACAGACCCCATAGGGACCCCAGATGATGGACATTTGCTGGGAGCCAAAGAGCCTCCCTCCCGTCACTATCCCCACCCCTCGCTCAGGGCCAATCTCTTGCACTTGTCCAATTGCGCATGTGGGCCCCTCTCCAGGACCCCTTCCTCATCCTCCTTGTCGGGGGCAACTGAGCTGCTCACCGAGGCTGGGATTCCTGTGTTGTATTTGGCCAATCAAACCCTTTCCAGAGTGAATCCTGGTGCAGGGGCCCTCTTTTCTAGCAATGCTGGGAGGCATGTCCCCAGGAGATGCATGATGCCCCTCTGTGTCTGGGAAATGTCCTGAGGGTGGCCCTGCCTTGGTATGAGCAGGCTTCCCTGAGGGTCTCTAGGCAGGCCAGGGCTGGCTCCGAATACCAGAGCCCTTGGTGCCCACTGCAGACTCTCAGGGCTACAAAGTGGCAGTGGGACGCTGCTGGGAAGCCCACCCCTTGCACGCAACTGGTTTGGGAAGGGTCTGTGGGAGACACTGCCCGTTTGGGGAGCCGGGCCACTGAAGGACCGGACACCTGGGCCCCAGTTCAGGGCTGAGGTCTGCCCACCCCCGCCACCACCCTGGGTGCGGGATGGGAGTGTTGGGGCCCAGCAGCCCTGGCGAGGGTCTCCATCCCCTTCTGCTCGCCTGTTGCCCAGGAATGCACGCTGAAGGTCCAGGACGGGAAGTTTAAGCTTCAAGACCTGCTCGTGGTCCCCATGCAGAGAGTGCTCAAATACCACCTCCTCCTGAAGGTGAGGCCATGCGTGTGCCCCGTGGCCGCCACCGGAGAGCGGGATGGAGGCCCGGCTGCCTCTAGGGGTGTGGACGGGGCCCAGATGCACCGGAGTGGGAGACAGACAGCAAATCTGTTCTCACAGCCTGTGTGGCGTATATCAGGAATGTTTATCACAGGAAATGGACAAAGGGAATTTGGGGCTGAAATCCATAAGAGCCAAAAACTTGAGAGACAGAAACGTGTCCCCAGACCAGGAGTAAGAGTAGCCTGGAGTGGGTCACTTAACCCAGTCTCTGAGCTTCCTGGTAGGCATGGTAGAAGTGGAAGTAGGAAGTCATTCTGGACAGACAGATCTGGGGAGAGAGAGTGGTTTCCATGTGGCGTGAGGCTCTTCGGTGAATCTACCTGTCACCCGTTAGCTCGGAGGCTTGCTTCATGCTGCTTTGAAGTGCTTCCCATTACCCAGCAGGTTCGGGGACACTCCATCTCGAAGCAGTGTGTCCCCTGGGCGAGGGCTTGCTGTCTGTGCTGGGTTGGTCAGCTGAGCCAGAGCCTGGCCTGGTGGTTGGGGGCTTGGTCCTGACGGTCTGGCTCTGGGCCCACACCCTGTGCCTGGTGGGGGCAAGGACGGAGGCCAGCATCCCCGCGTGGTGACCCGGGACTCCTCTCTCGCACGTGCAGGAACTTCTGAGCCATTCCACCGATCGGCCCGAGAGACAGCAGCTCAAAGAAGCTCTAGAAGCCATGCAGGTGGGTTGCTAAACTGAGGCAGGGGAGGGCCGAGCCAGTGTGGGGCCTCACATACCAAGTCTGCATGCTTTGACCGGAATTGGGCTCACCAACAAGCCTTGTTCTGTGACCATAGATGCAGCTTTTCCTGGGAAGACAACAGGCCGAACAGGGACGGGGTGGTGGGTGGGAGCCACCCCAGGACAGAGAAGGTGGGTGGAGGGGGCTTTAGGCACTCGCCCCAAGCGTCCAGAATCCCTAACCTCGCCTGACCCATGGCGACTTCCCTGGGTCTCCCTTCCTCCTGCTTCCCTGGCTGTCCACCAGGGCTCTTGCCAGGTCCCAGGCGCTGGACTCAGTCTGGGCCATCTGGCCCCATACTGCCCACTGCGCAGGCCTACAGCTTTTGCTTCTGAAATGTCCTCCCCACTCAGCCATGCTGCCTCCTCTCCCCTCTTCCCTATGTCCTTTGGAAGCCCACTGTGCAGGTAAGTCCCTGGAAGGAGAGCTCAGCTCGTGCCCTCCCCTTGCTCTGAAGCCTTCTGTGCCTCCCCACTGCCCCTGAGTCGGGCTCCGGCTCCCCTCCCGGCACACAGATACCCAGGTGCCTGGCTTTGCAGCTGTCTTTTCCACTAATGCCCTAAATTCCAGGCAAGCTTGGTCACCCCCATGCTCCTGTATGTGCTCCATCCTTTCTTGTCTCTGTTGGCTCAGGCTGGACCTCCTCCTTGTCACTGGGCTGTGTCCTGCACATCCTTGGTCTTTGCAAGGTGACATTTCCCAGGATTGCCCCCCCGCCTTGGGGATGGTTGTGCTGGGGTAATGCCGTCACCCCTTTGTGCCCATTGCTCCCTGATCATGGTCATCTGTGTCCCCAGCCGAGCACAATGCCCAGCATGGGGTAGATCCCCTCAGCGCTGCAGCTGGGCAGGGGGACGACAGTGTCCCCAGCACCTCCCAGGGTGAGTGCTGACCTCTGTACCCTCTTGGATGAACTCCTTCCAGAGGGCAGGGGTCCGTCTCCGTCTGTGGCTTCGAGCCCATCACCTGGCCCTTGGGTGGTCTGTGCTGGGGGAGCATCACTGATGAGCCAGGCCCATCCTGGAACGTTTCTGCCTCAGATTCTGCCCCACCAGTGGGCTCCTTATAGGAATGGGCAGGAGGTGCTGGAGGGGGAGGCTGGAACCGGCTCCCCACCTTGGCCTGGCTCAGGGATTCCACCCAAGGCAGCTTGTCCTACTGGGCAGATCAGTGCCTCCGGCTGGGTTCTCCCGAACAAGGCTTGGGGTTCCCTAGACCCTGGCCAGTGCTGGCTGCCTGGATTGCAGCGGGCACTGCCCCCTGGTGGCCGGCAGGAGGGCAGCGGCGTGTGGACCTCCAGAGCTAGACTGCGGGGTCACCCAGTTCTGCCTGGCTCCGCGGGAGTGGGGACCCTGCCAGGGGTCCAGTTCCCTAGAGCTGAGAAGCAGGCTGGTCAGGTCTAGCTGGCTGTTTTCTTCTAGTCTGAGCTAGAAGGGGGTCGAGTGGCAGGGCAGGGAGAAGCCGTTCCAGGAGGCAGGGGCTTGGGGGGTCTCACCCACTGACATGCGCCATTTGGGGTTGCTTTTACCTTCCCTGCCTCAGTTTACTCGTTTGTCAGATGGGGTTTCGAAGGCCTGCCGACTGTGGTGGCTGATGGCAGGTGCTCTGGAAATGTGGATGGGGATGGGGGTCGGCCCCCTGACCCCTCCCCCGCCTCCGTTGTTTTCAGGACTTAGCGATGTACATAAACGAAGTTAAACGGGACAAGGAGACCCTGAAGAAAATCAGCGAATTTCAGAGTTCTATAGAAAACTTGGTAAGTGTGGCTGATTCTCTAGAGTGGAGATTAATTAGGATCGCACATACACGTTTCAGAAATTACTTCCATAATCTCGGGATTAAACGAGCAGGCGGGTGAACCTACTCTCTCCGTCTGGGTTGGGGAAGCGGGCGCAGCTGTGTCCAGAGGTGGCCCGCGTGCCGAGGGGCAGGGTCTGGGGGAGGAACGGTATTGACCCCCTCCCTCCCTCCCTGGCCTGGACCGAGGACAGAAGGGCTGTGGCTCCCAAGGCGGGAGGGGGGCAGGCTCCCAAGGCTCCTTGTCCACCTGCAGCTCTGCTCTCCCCAGGAGGGTCAGTGGGGAGACGGTTTGGCCGCTCTGTCTGGGAGCGGCCCTCGGCTTTTCCCCTCCCCTCCCTCCATTAGGCAGGGCTGACGCCTCACAGGACCCTCTCCCCAGCCTGGTTCATCAGAGGCTCAGCCTTGGGGTGTTGGGTGAGCCACTGTGTCCTGCCGGGAAGAGGAGATGGGCCATCCCAGAAAGCAGACGCTTCCTTGTCTGTTCCTTGTAGCAAGTTCTCAAAGATCTGCCGAGTATTTCAACCAGGCTTTCTGTACCCCAACACTGTTGACATCTGGAGCCAGGCCATTCTCTGTTGTGGGGTCTGTGCTTGGCATTGTAGGGTGTTGAGCATGCCTGCCTGTGCACCCCACCCTTGGGGGTCCCAGACATCCCCGGACATCCCTTGAGTACAGGGCTACCCTGGCTGAGCACCACTGGGTTAGCCCCAGATACTTTTAGTGCCTGGTGGGGTCTGGGGCTGTCTGTCTCCCCCTGTGATCCTTGATGCTTTCTAAGGGCTATATGATGCAAGTTTTGGGGTTCTTAAAGTTTTTAGACATGAATTATCGTGTTCCTTAAATAACAAAAAGAACACAGTGGTGGCGAGCAGGTGTGGGCCCGCCCCGGGGGCAGGGCGCATGCTCAGCCTGGGGGTCTCTGCCGAGCCCACCAGCAGCGGGCGGAGGAGATGCGGGGCGTGGAGGCAGGCAGCCGGGCAGGGTGCTCACCCCACCATGTAACACCAGAGCTGGGCTGCTCTCAGCCTTGGACTGGCGGCTCCTGCAAAATTCGGAAAATTCAGAAAGCTGCCGAGAACTGTCGTCATGGCGCCACGGGCCCAGCCCCTTTAACGTGCTAGAACATTCTCTCCTCGTCCGGGTAGACCGTTTCTTTGCAAACCACGCAGGGAACGCGCCTTCTCTGAATCAGAGCAGAGGGGAGAGACAAGCCAATCTGAAATCACAGCAGACCAGAGAGGGGTTGGACTCGAAGCCTCTTCCTGTGGAGGACGCCCCGCTGGAGGCCCCCTCGCCCCGCCCGCCCTCCATCTGATAGGCCTTGTTTGTTCTCCTCGGCTTGGTTTCCCAGGGTTGGGCGTCCGGCCCTTCCTACCAGGGCCCGGCTCTGGGCTCCACACAACGGCGGCCTGTTGCCGTGACCCACGCCATCAATCGCCTCTTGTTCCCGCAGCGCTGAAGGGAGTGCTCAGCGAGGCTGGGGCAGGGCCCATCCCCCAGCCCCGTCCTCTCCTATCCCGACCTGCGCCCCAGCCAGCAACCGCAGGCTCGCTTCTCCCAGTTCTGCCTTCCATGTCCGCGGGAAGCATGCCCGCTTGGGCGCCGGCCCGCCGCCCTTGCTCTCCGTGTAGGTGCGGGGCAGCTGGGGCCCCCTCTGGCGCTGGGGCTGACCGCCTTGCCCTTTCTTTCCAGCAAGTGAAACTGGAGGAGTATGGGAGGCCGAAGATCGACGGGGAACTGAAGGTCCGGTCCATAGTCAACCACACCAAGCAAGATAGGTGAGCAGGCAGGTGGCCCCGGGCTGGGTGGCAGCCCCTTGTAGTCGGGCACCTGCTCCCTAACGGCCTGGAAACAGCTTGCCCACTCAGCCCTGTGTTCTCCTGCTTCACTCGCTTCCTTTCTGCTCAGGGACACGGTCCATGCCACGTCAGCCAGTGGCTGCCCTGCCCGTGGCACTGGGCTGGGCTAGAGGGCAGCCAGAGGCCCTGGCCTTCGAGTTCCCAGGCTCCCTGGGGCCACATGCACTCTTGGCCACATGCCTGCGAGGGAGTGCCCAGGCAGGCGACGGGGAAGGCTCCAGATGCATGGCCCCTGCTTGTTCAGAGCTCTCTATGTGCACCTGCTCTGTGCAAGGCCTGGGCTGGGGCTGGGGCCATGGTAGATAGGGGTCCTGTCCCTCTGGGGCTCCCGTCTAGTGGGGGATGGAGCATGGAGGCCTGAGGAGCCCATATGAGCCTTGAGCCCTGGGGTGGGTAGCCAAGGAGGGCTTCCTGGAGGAGTTGCATGGAGCAGCTGAGACCTGCTGGGGGGTCAGAGTTGGCAGCCGAGCCCCACAGTGGGACGGGGCCCAGGCTCGGAGAGGGAATAGCCTTGTTGCTGCCCACCCCAGGCACACGCTGGCTGTCCCGGGGCCTCGGAGCACGGGGCGCTGGGCATGCTGACGGCCACCTGGCCGCACTGCTGGGCCAGGTACTTGTTCCTGTTTGACAAGGTGGTCATTGTCTGCAAGAGGAGAGGCTACAGCTACGAGTTGAAGGAGGTCATCGAGCTGCTCTTCCACAAGATGACTGACGACCCCATGAACAACAAGGACGTCAAGAAGGTGGGCCCGGGGCTGCCTGCTGGTGACGGCAGGGCCTTCTGGGGCTGAGGGAGGAGCTGCGGGGTGGCCTCGAGAGCAGGGTGAGCCGGAATGGAAGTCAGCACTGACCCCGACTGGGTGGCTCTGCTGTGTGAACGAAACTTCCCTTCTGTCACCCTCGTGTCACTGTGCCTTCTGTGGGGGGCAGCCCACTCTGTGCCCAGCCCAGCACTTCCCTGGCCCTTTGTCTTTGAATCTTCCCTGGGGGTGGGCGTCATCCGGATCACAGCTCCTGGGTGAGGGTACCGCAGAGCGGCTCTGAAGAGAGCCAGATTGTAGACCATGGCCCCTGATTTCAGCCCACGTTGCCCCCTGCAGTAAGCAGGCCTTCCTTCGGACCGGGGCTCTGGGCAGGCCTGACGGTGGGTTGTTAGACACCAATGTCCAGCCAGTGGGCCAAGGCTGCTGGGGGGTGGGGCCGGGGCTGTTGGGGGTGGGACCACAGCTGTGTAGGGTGGAGCCACGGCTCCAGGGGGTGGAACCGAGGATGCTGGGGTGTGGCTGCCACCCCCTCTGGTTCAGTCCTGCTTCAGCAGAGGCTACTGCACCCCAAGGCTTGAGCATCTACTGTGTGCATCCCTGGCTAGATTTGGGGGCCAGAAGCCAACGTGCTAAAAATCCCAGATTCTGGACTTCAGAGCTTGCAATATAGAATGCAGGTTCCACCTGGAAGGGCTATTGGGGGTGACGCACTCAACCCCGCCTGATGTCTGAAACAACTCCTGAGGCTTGGGGTCAAAGCCACAGTCCCTCCAACCCCTGGCACATCTCCTCTGGGAGGCAGAGCCTTGCCCCTGGCAGTGCCGGGTCCTGGGCTGTGGTACCTGGTGCCGGGACAGGCTGAGTCTCTTAATGATCTGTCTCCCCCTTTCCTCCCCTCTCCTCATGCTTCCTAGTCTCATGGGAAAATGGTAAGCACCTGGGTCCTCCTCCTTTGCTTTCCTCCCCTCAGGGCCCAGCCGGCCCTTCCTTTCTGAGCCTGAGCAGCAGTGGAGACCCCAGGTGGGCCTGAGCAGGGCCAGGCTCCTGGCTTTCTTCTTCCTTCGTCCTGCTCCCTGTGCCCTCATCAGGATGGTGATGTGTATTCATGATCACAGACTGCCATTATGGAGGGTAGAAATGAAGGCCCACCTGCCTGCCCTGGTCCCACCCTCTCCCATTCCCCAGAGGTAAAGGACCACAGGCTTTTTTATAGTGAGCAGGGCTTTGGTGTATTCTCACGGTGTCCTTCTCCGCCTTCCTGTCTTCCCTCCCTCCTTCCCTCCCCCCTCCCTCACCTTCCCTCCCTCCCCCCTCCTTGTCTCCTTCCCGGTCTCCCTCCCTCCTTCCTTTCTCCCTCCATCTTTTCCAACACAAATGGGCTCAGACTTTCCACACTCTTCTTCCTGGGCCCCTTCGAAAGCCCCTAGAGATGGCCTGGCCTGTGGGTGGTCAAGGCAGCTGTGGGCTGGTTCAGCTGCAGGCTCTCCCAGCGCATGGCCTTCTCCAGCCTTTGGTTGGGTTTGTTTCTGTTGTTTTACTTCAGGGCAGTGAGCTTTGTAGCCTCACATTTAGGAACTGAAAATGGGTGGACCAGGGTGGTGGAAGGGCCCCAGGCAGTTGTGAGCACAGGCTCCCTGGGGACCCCACTCGGTCATAGACATGGCCCTGGCTGAGCCTGCAGAGAGTTCAGTTGAGGGTCCACCTTGCAGCGGGAGGGAGAGGGGTCCCATGGCAACTTGTTAGAGGGGTGCGTGCACACACGTGCGTACACGCACATGCGTGTGTGTGTGCAGGCACAAGTACCTGGTACACACACACACATGTGCACACGCAGGCACGAGTGCCCGGTACACATGCACATACACACGTGTGCACACGCAGGCATGAATACCCAGTACAATCACGTGCACACGCAGGCACAAGGACCTGATACACATACACACGTGCACACGCAGGCACGAGTACCCAGTACACTCACATACACACGTGTGCACACGCAGGCACGAGTACCCGGTACACACGTACACACGTGTGCACACGCAGGCACGAGTACCTGATACACGTACACACATGTGCACACACAGGCACGAGTGCCTGGTACACTCACGTACACACGTGTGCACACGCAGGCACGAGTACCCGGTACACACGTACACACGTGTGCACACGCAGGCACGAGTACCTGATACACGTACACACGTGTGCACACAAAGGCACGAGTACCCGGTACACTCATGTACACACGTGTGCACACGCAGACACGAGTACCTGGTATACTCACGTACACACGTGTGCACACGCAGGCACGAATACCCAGTACACTCACGTACACACATGTGCACACTCAGGCACGAGTGCCCGGTACACGTACACACGTGCACACGCAGGCACGAATACCCAGTACAATCACGTGCACATGCAGGCACGAGTACCTGATACACGTACACACGTGCACATGCAGGCACGAGTACCCAGTACACTCACGTACACACGTGTGCACATGCAGGCACTCGTGCCTGGTACACATGCACATACACACGTGCACATGCAGGCACGAATACCCAGTATACTCACATACACACGTGTGCACACGCAGGCACGAGTACCCGGTACACACGTACACACGTGTGCACACACAGGCACGAGTACCTGATACACGTACACACATGTGCACACAGGCACGAGTACCCAGTACAATCACGTACACACGTGTGCACATGCAGGCACGAGTGCCCGGTACACTCACGTACACACGTGTGCACACGCAGGCACGAGTACTTGATACACGTACACACGTGTGCACACACAGGCACGAGTGCCCAGTACACTCACATACATACATGTGCACACGCAGGCACGAATACCCAGTACACGCATGTACACACGTGTGCACACGCAGGCACGAATACCCGGTACATTCACATACACACGTGTGCACACGCAGGCACGAATACCCAGTACACTCACGTACACACATGTGCACACTCAGGCACGAATACCCAGTACACACACACGTACACACGTGTGCACATGCAGGTGCAGGCCCGAGTGCCCGGTACACATGTGCACGTGTGTCCATGCGCCCCAGGCCAGGCCAGCTGCGAGCCTGTCCCCTTCTCCCACAGTGGTCCTACGGTTTCTATTTAATTCATCTGCAAGGAAAGCAGGGCTTCCAGTTCTTCTGCAAGACCGAAGACATGAAGCGGAAATGGATGGAGCAGTTCGAGATGGCCATGTGAGTGTGGGGCGAGCCGCAGCGTGGGGGCTCTGGGAGCCCCAGGGGCAGTTTGTCTGGGACCCCCGCAGGCAGGGCTGATTTCAAACGCCCAGAGACTGAGACAGGCTCTGTCACCCCGAGACCCCAGGCACACCTTGGTAGCACCTTCACTGTTTTATAATCTGTCTGGGACCAGTGCCCCTTCCTCTGGGACACCTGTGTCCCCGAGGCTGAGCCTGGCACAGCTGGCCAAGGGAGCAGTGAGGGGCCAGGGCAGCTGCGTGCCAGTGACGCCTGGTGACCTGGGTCCTCAGCGCCTTATGGGCGGCTGGACTGTCTCGTTTTTGTGAAGGCACAGGGCTCTTTTTCCGTGAAACCTAGAAGGAGCCCCCAATATGTCCAACAGAGAAAGGGGATCACTGGGGTCCCCAGACACACCGGGCCCTGAGGCCAGAGTGGGGTCCTGGAGTCAGGCAGGCCGGGGGCCTCCGGGCAGGAGCGCTCCCCTCCCTGGTAAACACCGCGGGTTCCACCTCTCACGCCTGGCCCTTCTGGCTTTGTCGCCTCCCATGCATCCGGCCCTCGCGCCATCTGATCGTGGATGCGGTCCGAGTGAATGCTGGACATGTCCCCCTAAATACTTCCGGGTGCTCTTTCTGAGCTAAGTGCACTGTTTAGATTTTAAATCTCAAGCTTGTGTACGGTGAAATCCCTAAGGGTACATTGGCTGAGTTGTGACAAATCCTGCAATTGCCAGAAACCCTTACCATCCTCCTAGAAGGCGCACCTGCCAGGATGGCACGCTTGTCAGCCCTCACGCAGACCCTCGTTCTGCCTGGGGTGTCAGGGCAGGTCCAGCCTGAGGCCTGGCCTCCTGACCTCCGGCCCAGCCTGTTCTTGAGGTCGACCCCGCTTTGGTAGAGCTCAGGGAGTCTGGGCCTCTTTCCCTCCGGTCAGGTCCAACATCAAGCCAGACAAAGCCAATGCTAACCACCACAGCTTCCAGATGTACACTTTCGACAAGACTACCAACTGCAAAGCCTGTAGGATGTTCCTCAGGTGAGGAGGCTGCCTGCCCCGGCCCCTACCTGCCCGCGCTCAAGGGAGCCTCGTGCTGCATCTGTCCTGTGTACCCCTCACCCTGACCACCCCCTGCCCCTCACTCAGGCCAGCCCTGTGCTGGGCCCAGAGGGGCTGGAGAGCGTTCCTTCAGTGTCAGACCATCCAGGCCCTCGGGCATTCCGGATTGAGCTGGGAGGGGAGGCAGCCGTCCCTGCGGGTGCCCTGGGCCTGCCATGCGGGGAGGCAGAGCAAGGCCAGGAGAGGTCTGGGAGGAGAGCCAGCACCAGGCGGCACGTGAGGGCGAGGGTCTCAGCAGCCCAGGGCTGGGTGATCTGTGGTGCAGATGGCGAGGTGGGGCTGGTGGTCTTTGGGCCTTGCCATTGGCTCGGAGCCGTCCTCACGTCCCTTCCCCCCCTCTCCATGCAGGGGCACATTTTACCAGGGCTACCTATGCACCAAGTGTGGTGTCGGGGCCCATAAGGAGTGTCTGGAAGTGACGCCTCCCTGCAAGATCAGTGAGTACCGACCCCCGTTCTGCCTGCAACACACAAGCCTCCAGGGCTGCTCCTCGGGGCCCCGTGACCCACCCTGAACTAAGGGTCCTGTGGCTCACAGCTGCCCCGGTACTTCCCTCCTGGCCCAGCCATCCTCCTGTATTCTCCTTTCCCACGATTGAGACCCCACGGAGCAGGGACCCGATGAGAAAAACCAGGGCTCAGAGAGGGGAGGACACCTGGCCCGGGCCACACAGCACCAAGAGGCCCTGCCTGTGGGGCATTCCTTGCCAAAGTGCTCCCTCCTCACTAGGGGGGCTCCCGCGCTTCTCTCTGCCTCTTTGTACCCCCACCCCATTCCGGTTGTAAACTTGCAGAACCTCCACCCCAAAATGGGCACAGAACATTCTTGGCAGTTGCGTGGACGTTTCTGATCATAGAGAAACGCTGGTTGTACCTGTTCTTTACTCCTGGTTCTCCTGCACCCAGACAGGTCTGGCCTTCCTGAGCCACGCCTTTAGCCACGTTAGCGTGCCCACGTGTGCACACATGCATGCATGCACACACGCACGACACCTACAGGGCTCCCATGCTCTTCGTGCCCAGGTGTCGGGGGGGAAGCTGAGGCTCAGGGAGGGGAGGGGACCCGAGCCTGCCAGGCTGACATCTGGGCTGCCCAGGCTCCTCTGGCGGATGCATTTGGGGGAGTACCCCGCCTGCAACAGCTGGACGGGCAGCCAGAAAGCCCGAGACGGTTCTGAGCCACCGCAGGCAGGGCTGGCTGAGCACTGGATCAGGTGGGGATGCTGCAGCATGAGTCTGGGAGCGGGGGTACCTGCCGAGGGTCGGCTCTGCCCCCTGCACCACACGTGGGTGCCCCTGATCCTCCCACATCCCCTGGGACGGTCCGTTGCCCTGCATCCACACTCGGGGAAGTTGCACTCAGAGACGGGGTTACTTCACTCCAGGTAGATGGAAAACCGTATCAGGCCTGCTTGTCACCCTGAGCCACCACCAGCAGAACAGAAAATTTAGTTTGTTCTTCATTTACTGTGACTGCTGGCCCGGCGCCCTGACTGCGAGGAGGGTCCGACAGGTCAGGCAGACCCCCTCCTCCGGCCACAGGCCCGATGCAGCCCCTTCCACTCCCCCACGAGCCTCCTCTGGGCTGGAAGTCCTGGCCAGAGCCCGTGGGCACAAACGCGGCTTTTCAGCTTTGCCCATCGATACCGCCCTCTGGTGGCCGTGTTCTGTCACACGGGTGACGGGACAGTTCATGTCTTTTGACTTTTTTTTTTTTTTCTCTGATCCTCAAAGTAACATAATTACTTACCAAAAATTTGGGGACAAAAAGAGAAGAAATGGAATACAGAAGAAAGTAAATATCATCCCTGAAGTTATAAAGAAATAACTAAAGGTGATGTTTGATGTATTTCCTTTCAAGTTTTCTTTTTTAGAATGAATCTTTCTGGGTTTTTAGTCTCCTGATTATTAAAAATGCTCATTTCCATGGAAAATTGGGGAAACGTAGAGAAGAGTAAAGGAGCAGGTCATCCACTCACGGTCCCACCAGCCAGACAACCACCGTTCGCCGATGCGCCCTGTTCCCTCTGCCGCACACGCCTGTCCCCCCGCCCAGTCTCTTCTCATGTTTGTGTGCTTTCCATCCTGCCTACGAGTGGGGTCTCACCAGGCGGGCGATTTCGTGTCTTCCATAAGCCGAAGTTATCATGGGCGTCCGCCCCATGTCACTGAGAGCCCGTGCTGGGCACCTGGTTTTATTCCGGAGAGTTCCGCGCTGGTCCAGCGCTCTCGCCGTTTGTGCTGGGCTTGGGCTCCGGGCAGTGCCTGTGACCCGCAATGAGGCAGCTTGAACTGTGTTGCCACCGGGGCCAGGATGGCCCAGAACGGCGCTGCCCCCCCCCCCCCCAGAGAGCCTCTGCCCGGGGAAGCCTTGCTGCTTCTCCTCCCCACCCGGTGCCCACCGGGCCCGTTGTCTCTGTTCCGTAGGGCTGTCGGCGACTGTCCAAAGCGGTCTGCCGAGAGTGTCACGTGGTGTTCAGGTCGCGTTAGCCATTGTGGTCCTTGCTTCGCCCGGTGGTGGAGTGGCGGCCCCGCCTGCCGGATGGCTGGGGCCCAGCTGGGCACCGCTTCCTCCCCTGGGGGCACCCCGAGGCAGGCAGGAAGAATCTTCGGGACATCTGACAAGCGGAGGAGCCCCGTGTCTGGGAGCGAGCGCGCAGGCAGATGGGTGGTGTCTGTCCTGACAACCTCTTGTCACCGGCCCGTGGCAGGCATCCCTAGTCAGGCGTGGAAGCTTTGCCTTTGAGCCCACGTTCCACCTGGGGCTCTCGGGCGTGGCTACCATGAGAGCAGAGTCAGCCCAGGCGGGAAACCTGTTTGCCAGCCTGTGTTCCCTGGGGACCCCCGACAGCCAGCGCTCCGAGTGTGCCGGCGGAAGTAAACGAGGGACACTCGTGGTCGCCGGCTGTGCTCATGTGGGGGGGAGCTCACCCCCCGGGGGCTTGCTGCTGACACCTCACGTGCTTCCTTTTCAGGTTCTCCCGCCGACTTGGTGAGTTCTCCAAACTGTTCCCTTCCTGCCACTCTGCACCCCACGCAGCCCTGTGTCCCCAAGCCAGAAACGCCTGTTGTTCCTGATCTCACCACTGCTGGGCCCACCCTGGCTGGCACACTGGCCACTGTTGCTCATCGGGGCCTTCAATTTCCTTCGTGGGCCTCAGGAGAAATGGGTCCCCGTGCACAGGAGGTCCCAACAGGGCTCTGCTTGCCCCGTGGCTTGCGGGTGCCCAGCTCTGGGACAGGCATCCACCCACTAGCCCCCCCATCCTGATGGGGCTTAGAGCCCTCTGTGCCGCTGACTTAGGGCAGACATCCCCGCCATGGGGTCTAGTCAAATGAACCAGCCCTTACAGGGTGCTCGCCAGGCCTCGTGTGTGGTACAGAAATGTCCTCATGGAGGCGGGAAGAGCTCTAGCATTCGGTTGCATATGCAGTGGGACATGTCCCCGGACAGAGATGACAAGCCCCAGGCTCAGAGCAGGGAGGCCCCCAGGGCTGGCGTGGTCAGGGCAGCCTTCCTGGAAGAGGTGGGAGTTAATGGTGAGGGATGGATATCCCGGGGCAATGCAGGGGCACCGAGGTGGAGGGGGTAGGTAAGAATAGGGGAGGGCTTGTCAGAGTGAAGCCGTGTCACGAATGCCTGTGGGACTCTGGGATGTGTCCCTCTCCTCCCCCTGCTTCCTGCCTCGACCCTTCTCTCTAGGGAGGTGGGGGGCAGGGGATGTCGATGCCGGGGCAGCCCTCCCTGATCACTGTGGTTTGTCCTTGCCCTCCCAGGACGCCTCCGGAGCAGGACCGGGTGAGTCTGTGGGACTCGGGCCCTCTCAGCTGCCATCCAGGTCCGTGGTCACTCTGGGGGCCAGGCCTGGGCCACTGTGACTGCCCAGCCTCGCCCAGCCTTCTGGGCTCCAGGCTCCCTCCACGGCCACGTCCCCGGGGGGCCATTGTAGTGTCTGATGAGGGCCCAGCGTGCAGAGGGTCAGGGTCCTTCCAGGGGGGAGGGCTGCAGCCGGAGCCCCCCCTCCACGGGGTGGGCCTCAGAGGGCCGCTTCTGTCACTTGGCCGATATCCCTATGTCCTCGTGCCCCCTGCTCTGTACCGTGTGGCAGGAACGTGGCTTTTAACTGTTGAGGGTGGACGGCATCGGGAGCCGAGCTGTGCAGTCTAAGCGGGGCTGGGCCACCGTGGCCTGATCGTCAGGAAGCAAAACCAGAGCCACACTGAGGCCCGGGACACCCGTGTTGGGCCCAGGCCTGCAGACAGGCCCACATGCAGCTGGTGGGGTCAGAGCAGGGCTTGGGCCACGAGCGCCCTGCAGATGCCTGGGGGGCCCAGCCGGGACCCCGTTTCAGCCCAAGAGCCGCCCCAGCCAGCTGTGTGTGGCCTTAGCCAGCCCCTGGGTCTCACTTGCCCCTGGTCCCCCATCTCTGCCTTGAGGGGTACCCCGTGTCCTGCTCCACACACGGACTCTCAGTCACAGATTAGAAAGGGGTCTGGAGGAAAACACAGGAAGTGCCACTTAAAGTAAGCAGCCACTGCCGTAACGAGCCCCTGAATCCGTTAGTCCCACGGTTTCCTTATGACACTTAACAAGGGGACCTGGGGTCTCATGGGAAGAATTTAGGGTCCCTCACCCAGGAGCCCTGGGGAGCCGAGGTCAGTGGTGGGTGGGCTGCCGGCCAGGACCGAGTCACTGAACGAGGGGCCCCCTCCTGCCCTGTGCCCGCAGGTCCCAAGATGGTGGCCGTGCAGAATTACCATGGCAACCCAGCTCCCCCCGGGAAGCCAGTGCTGACCTTCCAGACGGGCGATGTGATCGAGCTGCTGAGAGGCGACCCCGAGTCTCAGTGGTGGGAGGTGGGTCCTGGGGCCCGGAGGGGCAGGTCTGGGGGTCAGGGACCATCCCCGGTGGAGGGAGGCAGGCTGTGAGCAAGTCCGGAGTTCTCGCCCAGGCAGGAATTCCAGGGGTCCCCAGCCCTGTGTTCCTCGGGGTGTCCGCTTTCACGGGCCGAGCACAGCATCCCCTCCCGTGTGTGCCTCCTGCTGGGGTGCGTCCTGCACACCCTCCCCAAGGCTCTGCCCACCTCCTGCCTACCTGCCCAATGCAGGTCAGAACTGCAATGGGGCAATCAGGTGTCGTGCTGGCCCCAGGGGGGTGGGGGACCCTGTGACTTCCTCCAAGGAGCTGCTGTGTGGTGGAGCAGAGACAGACGGGGACACGGTGTCCCGGGATGGTTACGGTTCTGAGCCATGAAACTGTTCTGAGGACAGGCCCACAAAGGCGGAGCCCTCCTGCGCCCACCTGCCCCTGGGCACCCGAGACCCACAGGGGTCAGCATGGTGCCACGGGAGCTCGGGGCACCCGGCCCAGCCTGGCCGGCCAGGGGTGACTGAGACCTGCTTAGAGTGAATGTTTGTTATGTTTCCGTGACTGTTACCGCCATCACTGTTGTTTTGTGATGGTCATTTGTCACTCCATACTTACAGATGAATTTATTGTGCTAGACCACACCTTCACATAACTGGAGATTCGGAAGGTGCAGAAGGGGGTCTGCAGTATAAAGTCTCTGTCCCACTCTGACCCCAGCTGCCCAGTTCCCAGGCCCAGGTGTCCCCAGAGCCATTGGTCCTGGGTGGCCTTGCAGAGAGGCTTTGCCAGTGTGAAAGGGGGAGGCCGAGGAGGAGCGGCCGGGAGGACCTTGGGAGCCCCGGCCCCTGCAGACCCTCCCAGGGTTCTATCAGATGCCCCCAGTCCACACACCCCTTCAGTTTGAGAAACACCCTGTAGATACAAGGACTGGAGAGCAGCTGGGGTGGGGCTCTAACCCCAGCTCCGAGCAAGTCTCTCAACTACTTCTCTGGGCCTCAGTGTTCTCATCTGTAAAGTGGGGACGCCACCCGCCTTCCTGCCCGGCGGTCATGAGGTCAGCTGAGGCTACAGCGGGGAGCGCTGCCGACACATGCTCTTCTTAGGACCTGCCCTCACCCCGTCCTTAGGATAAGCTGAGCCGCACGGCAGTGCCCGCTGCACCCCCTCCCACTGGCCCGGCCCGGCCCCCATCGTCTGTCTCCTTCCAGGGTCGGCTGGTGCAAACCAGGAAGTCAGGCTACTTTCCTAGCTCGTCCGTGAAGCCCTGCCCCGTGGACGGAAGGGTAAGCACTTCCCACAGAAGCTTCTGGAGCGCAGTGGCCGGGAGGCTGGGGCTTCTGAGGGCTGTCTCCTCACTCGGGGCATCTGGGCTTGGTCAGCACATCCTTGCTGAGTAGCCATTGCTGGCCCTGGAGCTGGGCGTCGGGGGGCACTGAGGGGCAAGGGGTGCCCTCGGTCTGAGGGGCTCGGCCAGTTGGGTGCTACATTTCTCGTGGTTTTAGAAAAACAAAAATGGGCCTTTCTGCAGCAGTCGTAATCGACGGAAGACCAAAAATGTCACCTTTCTCCAAATTTTAGGGACTCTGTAAGTCTTCTGGGACTATTTTACAGCCCCAGGGAGGAGAGGACTCCCCTGAACGTTGGAATTCAGAGCTAGACTTTAGGATATTTGGAAAAAGGCCTTTCATCTGAGTAGTATGGAGCAAATCTTCCTCTGTTACAAAAGGCATCAAGCAGTCAGTCGTGAATAATGGAATTACCTCCACCCACCCTCTAAAAAAGGCATTCAAAAGTGCCGGAGGGAAATTTCTCCAGAGGGAGCAGGAGGTGGGTCCAGAACACCACGGGAGCCCCGGTGCACCCTCCAGGCCCCGCCTGGCCTCTGGCCCCATCCGCCAGCGTAAGGGGACCAGACAGCGGAGGAGGAAGAGCATCACTAACTCACTGGGTGGCCTGGGGCAGGTCCCATTCCTGCCCTGGGCCTCAGTTTCCCCATCTACATGGTGAATGGGGTGGAAGGGGTTAGGTAGTCCATGAGGCCTTGCCTGGCCTGTGGCACAGTGAGGGGGGGCCAGGGTGGGACCTCTGGCTGGTGAGGGGGCGGCGTGGGGTCTCGGGGCTGCTTGGCCAGCGTGTGGCCCGTCACCTGGAGGAGAGGCTGCCGCCAGCCAAAGGACACCTGCCCTTGGGGCCCTGAGCCCGTCTGTAGCAAGGAACTCTAGCTGTAGGATGTGCTCCCGTCCCTGCTGGGACGTTCCTGCAGCCTTCTGTCACCTCTCCTTGGGGATTTGCACCCTATCAGTCGGTCGCTGCACATTCAATCAAACCCACTGGGACCTCGCAGTCCGGTGGCTCCGGGGCTAAGTCCACAGATAGCACGGTAGCCAGTGCTGGGCCCGAGGGTCAGGGCGCTGGTCACAGGGCCCCTCTGGCCCCACTTGGGGCAGGACATTAACCCGAACATTCTCTCCTGCCAGCCGCCCATCAGCCGGCCGCCATCCCGGGAGATCGACTACACCGCCTACCCCTGGTGAGTGGGGCAGTTGCGGTGGCCCCGTGAGCCCGGGAGCAGGCCGGGAGGGGTCCCCCGGCTGCCTCTTGCTTGTGTCCAGGTTGGCTGAGCCCTGCTGGCCGTATGTCTCGGGGAGCCTGGGGGAGTCTTCTCTACCCCGAGGCGGGTTTTCCCCATCACGAAAACAGGTCATCGGGTTATCATTTGGAAGAATGAAGCCCCCCCTTTTTTTTAACATGAGCTTCATCATAGAAAATATAGGAAAGTGGGATATTTAAGGCCAAATGTGTAATCACACATGTACGCATGGAGCGGCTTGATGAGAACCGTGGCGCTGTTGGGATTAACGAGAGCATGAAGGTAGACGATCTAGGAACAAGTCACAGATACAGGTCGGCTCGGGGGGCCAGCTTTTACTGGTCTGCCTGCTGGCCCCCCGGGCTGCCTCGAAGGACTGGCCTTGTGGTCGTAGCTCCCTGTGTTCTGCATCCTGTGGTGGCCACAGAGCCATGGGCGGCTACCTCAGGGGCGGTAAACCCCTACCCCACACACATCTGGCCTTGAGGTTTCCATCTGGGCCTCAACCTGTGCCCAGCGGTGCAACCCCTGCGCCCTTGGGGTTCTGGCCTCCTCCGCCCCTGGGCTTGGCCTTCCCCTCCAAGCCTGAGATGCCGCAGGTCTGTCCGCCCGGTGCCGTGTTCCCCGCACTCCTGTCCAGGGTCGAGGGTGCAGGACAGGCCTGTGATTTTCATTTGAGGGAGTGACAGAGATGCTCCATTTCCGCTGTAGGTTCTATCTCAGCTGCACATTATTTACCGCAGTCCCCAGTCGGCCTGGCGGGCGGTGCAGGTGGTAAGGGGTTTGTTTGGGAGGGGGCAGTGGGGCTCGCCTGGCTCTCTCCAGGGTGGCTTCCCTTCAGGGAGGCGGCAGCCTGTCAGTCTGTGCAAAACCCATTGATGTCCGCGGGTTCCCATGTGTTGCAACAAAAGTAAAAAATCCACACATGAGTGTTTATGACTTGCTTTTCCAACAGCGAAAACTTAGAAATTTGCTCTAATGCTCATGTTGCTCGAGCCCCTCTTGCAGACCAGGTTCTGTAGAAAGCTCCCGGGGGCCGGGCTGGGGCCTGGGGGCCTCATTCCTCCCCACGACGATGTCACCCCACGAGTGCCCCTCCTGCAGGGGCTCAGGTGGCTCATGATGCCCATCAGCGCTGTTGCAGAGGCCTGGGTGTCCTCCAGGCAGTGCCAGTGTTAACCTCCGGCCTCGTCCCACCTGCTAGGTTTGCGGGCAACATGGAAAGGCAGCAGACCGACAACCTGCTCAAGTCGCACACCAGCGGGACCTACCTAATCAGGGAGCGGCCGGCCGAGGCAGAGCGCTTTGCCATAAGCATCAAGTACGTGGTGGCCCGGGGAGCAGGGAGACCTCTCCCCCAATGCCACTCTGAACCACGAGCCCACGTCCCTCGTGGGTGGGGGTGGCCATGGACTTCATTGCCCTAAGCAGGACCCTTTGGGATGAAAGCCTGTCAGTGGGTCTGCACAGTGTAGCTGGCCCGGGACACATGTGAAGGCCCTGCCCAAAGCCACGGGGTGGGCTTGGTCCCACGTTTTTCAGGTTGTGGGCAAGGGTACTATGGGGGTTAGGGGCCGGCAGCCCCGCTGGTGGGCTTTGGAGAGAATGGGAAGGTCACACCACTATGGCCTCGCGGCTTCGGCCAGTGGCCTTTGATCTGGTTGTCCTCTGCCCAGAAGCTGTCCTCTCGTGCATCTGCCACCACCCCTTCGGAAGAAGGAGTCTGCCTGGTGGCTGGGCACCATCGGCATAGGATGCCCACTGGACATCTTGGGTCAGGCCCCTGGCAGCCCACGTCCAGCAAATAGGGGCTGTCGGCTATGATGACCCCCAAGGTCTGGTCTGGTCAGCTCTCGACTGCCGCCCCTCAGGGTGGCCTGTGTCCGGGGAAGGCCTCCACTGGTCTGCTGGAGGTCAGAATCCCACAAATGCTTGGAGCGTGAAACAAGCCCACCGGCTCTAAAGTAGTGGGAGCAAAGGAGACCAGCGTCGGAAGGGACAATGTCCAGTGCAGGAGCTGGACGTGGCCCAGGTCCCTGGTGAGCAGGCCCTGCTCCCCAGCAGAGGTTCCCGCACACCTGTCGTGGGCCCGGGGAGCATCACGGACAGTGACAACGGAGGGCGGGCCGAGGGGCAGGTCCGTGGTGCGGTCAGCCAGCCAGCACCAAGCCAGGAAGTGGCAGAGACCGCACTCACCTGATGGGAGATCACGTGGCATCTTCTGGGTGCCTGGCCTGTAGGGCTCCCCCATGGGGCTGAGACCGGCCCAGGAGCTGGGGGTGGGGTGAGCACCCCCCCCCGCCCCCGCTGACTTTCAATCCCGGAGAAACCATGGGTGGTCTACAAAGGCTCCCCCAGGAGAGGCCGCTGGCCACATTGGATTATCTGCCAGTTGTTTGTTTCATTAACCGATTTCCAGTTGTTAAACAAACCTTGCATTCCCGGAATATCCCACTGGGTGTAGTGCGGAGTCCTTCTCAAATATTTGGTTTATGTAGGCATACACGTGGGGAGAGATTCAGCTTGCTGGTGGTTTGCTGAGGACTTTTGCATCTATAGTCATAATGGTTGCTGGTGTGTTTCCTTCTCTTGGGGTGTCTGTCTGGCTTTGGTACCAGCTGGCAAGGGGCTGGAGTGGTATTTGGGGAGCAGGGGGTATGAGGAGGTTTTTCTGTAAGGTCACATTTGAACGGAGACCCGAGGATGCAAGCCCAGGAGGTGAGGATGGTGGGGGGCAGCTTGGGTTTGTGCTTGGCCTAAGTCATGACCTCCATGGCCCAAACACTCTGCCCAGGTTCAACGACGAGGTGAAACACATCAAGGTGGTGGAGAAGGACAGCTGGATCCACATCACAGAAGCGAAGAAATTTGAAAGCCTCTTGGTACGTGATCCTGTGGCTCCCGTGGCCTGGTCCATGGGGGTCAGGGGAGGGCCTGGGGGTCCCACCGCCGCCAGACCAAGAGAAGAGGCCCCCTGCACCCTGCTATCTGCAGGCCACGCTCACAGAGGGCCAAGAGCCCGGTGGGGCTTCTGCATCACTGGGGAGGATCCAAGGAAATGGGTCTGGAGGGCTCCTTGGGATAGTTCGGGCCTCATGACAGCCCCCGCATTGGGACTTCTGCCCCCGAAGGGTTCACCTGGGTGGACAGTGAGGGGAGGGCCCGCCTGCCCTGCCTGCATCCCTGCAGCCCAGCTCCCACACGCCCCCGCCGCCCCCCTCCCCAGCCAGAATGCAGGTAAAACCACAGGCCTTCTTCACAGGATTTTAAAGTGAGACCTGTGGTATCTTTCCTAACTTACGAGCATTACGTGTACCGAGAGGATCTGACTCGAGCACCTGAGCCCTTTGACGGCCCTCAGTGGCCGCAGAAAAGCACAAAGTAAAAAGTATCCACAGTCTCCCACCCCCCCCAACCCCAGTGTTAACATTTCAGGGTGAGTCCTCCCGACCTCGAAGAATAGCTTAGGTGTGGTTTATATCACGGTTCTCAAACGAAACCGTTGGCCACACTGTGCTGTCGGCCTGCTTTTCAACGTGATAAACTTCGCCGTGGGCACAGCCCTCTCCTGTCCGGGCCGGTAGCCACACGGCAGCCGGTCGCTGGCACCTGCTGGTCTTTCGGGAAGCCCTTCCTTGGTGCCGGGCGCGTGGGGTTGCAGGCTTTCTCCATCAGAAGGCGCTGCGGCGAGCCTCCGAGTGCCGGTCTTGGCTTTCACCCCTGATTTTCCTTGAGCAGCTGCTGGAGAGAGACTGCTGGCTCAGAGGTCTTTGCGACCCGGACCACCCACCCTGGGTGGGGTGCTGGGCGGAGAGGACGAGTGCCAAGTGAAACGGGGGAGAGGGAGGCCAGGGCACCTGGGAGGGCTGCCTGGAGGCGGTGAGAGCACCAGCGAGCGCGCGTGTCTTGCAGGAGCTGGTGGAGTACTACCAGTGCCACTCGCTCAAGGAGAGCTTCAAGCAGCTGGACACCACGCTCAAGTACCCCTACAAGTCAAGGGAGCGCGCGGCCTCCAGGGCCTCCAGCCGGTCCCCAGGTAATGCCCGCGCCCGCCCGGCACACCAGCGCTCACTCTGCCCATTTCCCACGGCCCTGGCTTCACCGCCTCCCTGCCCTTGAGGAAGGCTTTCTGTGGGACCGAGGCCAGGAGCCCCTTCCCCGTCCCCACCCCCAGAAACCCATCACAGCCCCCTCCTGAGCCAGGGTGTCCTGGCTGGTCTGCGGGACAGGCGGGGAGTGCGGGCTCTGAATGGCTCTGAATGGCTCTGAATGGCCGCTCTGGGCCTTGGCACCCATGCCCAGAGTCAGCATGGGGAGAGAGCAGGGCAGGTCCCATCTGTCCTTAGATCCCTCCCTGCGCCCCAGCCCCCTGGGGGCCTTCACTGTGAGGGAGCTGGAGCTGGTGCGTCCGTTTGTGGGCCGGGCTCCACGGCTCAGGACAGGGGGGCGTCTTGCTTCAGGCCCACTGGGAGTTAGAGGCAGGGCGAGCCCACGGCTGTCCGCTGCACCACCCCGCGTCCCCAGCCGCCGGGGCAGAGCAGGGCAGGAGAGGAACAGTGGACCTTCAGCGGGCAGCTGGTGTGCGCGGGGCGAGAGGCCGGGCTCCCTGCATGAATAGTTTCCGAGAGCCTGGAGCCAGCCCGCCCGCTGGGAGGAGGTGGTCCAGATTCTCCAGGGAACAGGCCCAGAGAGGCGGTGGGAGGGGCAGCTCGGAGGCCGCCAGGCTGCGCCCCGCAAGCCCCGGGCAGGCCCGGCCCCACGCGCCCTGCGCTCTGCCTGCATGTGCCTGGGCACGCACGGGCCCGCTTTCACGTTCTTTCTCGCCTCTTTGCAGCTTCCTGCGCCTCCTACAACTTTTCTTTTCTCAGTCCTCAGGGCCTCAGCTTTGCTTCTCAGGGCTCCTCCGCTCCCTTCTGGTCAGGTACCACTGGCGCTCGGGGCGTGGGGGGGCCCGGCCTGCAGCCCCCGCCCACAGCAGCCCGCAGCGGCCTGCAGCCCGGCGCAGGGCGGGGCCGAGGGGCCGGGCCAGGGACGGGAGGGGCCGGCCGCCAGGGCAGGGCTGAGGATGCGGTCAGGCGCTGCCCCCCTCGCTGCCGTCACCTCTCGGACTCGCGCACCCCGATGGCCACTCCCCAGCTCGGCAGCCCCTGTCCCTCCTGGCTTGTTGAGAGCTTTGCCCCTGGCAGCGGCAGACAGCTGGGCGGCCACCCTCGGGGCGAAGGCGGGAGCAGATCGGGCGGGCCCTGGAGGAAGGGGGACGGGGTGTCAGTCGGCCCCGACTGCGTGGCCCTCCGCTGCCAGAGTCAGAGCCCCTCCCCAGCCGCTGTGTGTGTCCCCTCCATCACGGATGTTGTCCCTGCTCAACGGGGCTTCGGGGCCCCCCACTGAGCTGGTCTAGTTAGGTGTCTGGTTTGGTTTGGGGATCTGGAAGTCGGGCCCGGGACCCTGGGGTCTGGCTCCAGGTGCTCCATCAGAGTGCAGGCTGGGAGCTGGGCAGTGGTCACTCAGCTGACCCCTGGCCAGGTGACACTTGTGCACCAGGCATGCAGGGGGAGGCCCTGCGGGAGTTGCAGTGGTCAGAACACCGGCCTCTGCTCTGACCCCATGACCACACTTGGCTGTGACGGCCCCCAGTGTGGCTGGCGACCGCTCCGAGTGCCCTCATGGGAGGCTCGAGGAGGCCATTGCCTGTGGGGCTGGGCAGAATAGGAGAATAGTCTGTGCCTTCGGAGCCTTTCTACCAGACAGCCCTCCTCTCTGCACAGGGGGCCAGACACCAGGGGTCCACGCTTGGCCCTGCCGCCAGCTGTGTGACCCTGCCCATCTCCTCCAACAGTGTTCACGCCCCGTGTCATTGGCACGGCCGTGGCCAGGTACAACTTTGCCGCCCGGGACATGCGCGAGCTCTCGCTGCGGGAAGGTGACGTGGTGAAGATCTATAGCCGCATTGGCGGGGACCAGGGCTGGTGGAAGGGCGAGGCCAACGGACGGGTAAGTGGGGCAGACGTGGCCTGGCTCAGCCTGCGGGCCGGGTTTGGGCAGGCTGGCATCTCAGTGCAGCCTGCCCCAGCACCATGCCCACACCCCCGAGCCACAGACTCGAGCTGCCCCGGTTGGAGCTGGATCCAGGCCCATTTGACGCTGTATCTGGGCTCAGGCCTGCTCCGTGGTCCTCTGTGGCCACAGCAGGGCCATGTGTTTCGTATGCACTCTTCATGTTACTTGCGTGTACCCAAGCCCTTTGTGCAGGCAGAGACCTCAGGATGCGAGCAAGGCCCAGGAGTCCTCACTGGCCTCACTTACGTCATGGGGAGATGGGAAGGGGTACACCATGTTCCCACCCACCCTGCCCCTTCATGCTCTTCCTGAGGACTCTCTCTTCCCTGTCCACCCTGTGACCCTGCAACACTCTATGGCCCCTTATCCCTGCACCCTGTCTGGACCCGATGGCTTTGACCTGTCTCTGTCAGAACTCACCCAGCAGGATACTAGAGCCCCACGTGGGGCAGATTTGGAAACGTCCAGCTATCCTTGGGGCTGCAGCTGCCTGCAGGCAGGCACGCTGGGCTGTGGAGGGTCGGCCTGCCTTGGCTCCTGTTGCCCACCATTCCGTGGCCAGGTGGTGGGAGCTGGTCTGCCTCCACCTAGCATGTTGGCTGCCCTTTGGAGGCCTGGGGTCAGATCCATTTTCCACCCCACATCCCTTCAGAAGTGTGAGGCCACTGAGTCCTGGGCAGCTGACCTGGAGGGCTGAACCACTAGCTCTCAAAGTGGCCCTTAGGGCGCCAGCACTGGAGGTACCTGGGGCTGTAATTCAATGAGCACATACCTGGGTCCTCCTCACCCAGATCCTGAAGGTCAGGAATAGACGAGTTTCCCAGGTGATTCAGAACTACTGGCTTAGAGTATTACTAGATATTCCTGTTGCTTTGACCCTGTTGTGAAGTGTTTCTTTTTGTCTGTGGCAATTCTTCTTGCTTTAAAGTCAACTTTGTGTTGTTCGAGCAAGCCAACTTTTTTTTGTGGGGGGGAGTTAGTGTTGTATGTGGCAGACTTCATTCTCTCTTGCGTTACTTTCAACTTTTTTGTATCCTTATATTTAAGGGAGCTATAAGATAAAATGTTGTCTTAAACAGAGTTTTTAGAGCTAGTCTGTTCTTACAGTCTCTGCCTTTTAATGTGTATATAGCCCATTTACATTTACTGTAATTACTGAGCTGCTTACATTTAAATCCGTCATCTTTCTGTTTATTTTCTATTTGTCACATCCATTTCTTCTTTTTCCTCTTTTCTTGCCTACTTTTGAATTAATCAGTATATACATATATATTTTTTTTCTATTCTACTTCCTGTCCCGTTGGTGGCCATTCTTTTCCTATTATTTATTTAGGAGTTAATACCTTAGGGATTACAGCATGCACTCTGACTTCTGAGAGCCCATTTTAAATTAGTACTTTTACTACTTCCTGGATGATGCAAAGACCTTACAACTTTTGACTGTATTCATGTTCCTCCCAACTTTTGTGCAGGTGTTGTCATGTATCTTAATTCTATATATTTTTCAGTCCCATGAGACATTATTTTTGTTTTAAGCAGTTAGTGTTTGTTTAGAGTTACCACCTATTTACCTTTCCCAGGGCTCCCCATTCCTTCATGCTTTCTTGTATTTCCACCCAAAATCATGTTCCTGCTGCCTGAAATTCCCTCTTCTAGGTATGTTTTTTAGTGTGAGTCTGCTACTAATAAATTCTTAGTTTTTGTGGGATCTGAACACCTCTTTATTTCGTTTTCTTTTTTTCTGTTCTCGTTATAAAACGTTTGTAATGTATTTGACACAATTTCAAACCTAAAGAAAAGTTGCTATAGCACAAAGAGCTCTCACATGCCCAGACTTACCAATTAAGAATGGTTTGCATGTTTGCTTTATCATTTGTGTTCTCCCTCCCTCTCTGCTTATTTTTCTCTTAACCATTCGATAGTAAATTGCAGAAGTCCTATCCCTCCCCGCTAAACTCCTTAGTACTTCAGTGTCCTACGATCAAAGACATTCCCCTTTGACAGAATATGATTATCTAATCCACGGTCCATATTCAGATGTCACCAGTTGTCCCAACTGTGTCTTGTCTACCTAAATGAATTGCATTTACTTGCTATGGCCCTCAACTTTGTTCTAGAACAATCCTCAGCCTTTCTTGGTCTCACATGACTTTGACATTTTTGAAGAGTACGGGTCAGTTATTTTTGTAGACTTTTCCTCCATTTAAGTTTGATACTTCTTTGTGATTAGGCTATATATTATGTATTTTCAGTGGGAACATAATGCAGATGTTATATCCTTTTCAGTACTGTAGTGTCTTATCCAGAGGTATATAAGGTCAGTTTGTCCTATTATTCTAACATTAATTTTGATCATTTGGTTAAGGTGATATCTGCTGAGTCTCTCCACTGTGAAGTGACTGTAATTAATCAGTAATCTCCAGGGTAATACTTTGAAATTATTAAATATCCTGTTCCACATTAAACTTTCACCTACTAGTTTATCATTATCATTCATTGGTGAATTTTGTCTCATCACTTATTCGTATCGTGGTTGAAAAACAGTGATTTTCCAGCCATTGTTTCTTTAGCACTTATTAGGGGACATTCTACTGTAAGGAACACCCTTCTCTTCTCTTGGTCATCCCCCGGGGAGTGGGGTCAGTCATCCCTCCAGTGAGAATGGCTTCCTTTTTGTGAAGAATCATGTTGAGCTCATTTTCAAATAGTATTCTTTAGGGGATAAATTTGAGGCTAGCAGGTATTTTATTTTGGCACTTTGGGGATATCATTCCATTGTCCCTGGTTCCATCATTTCTGTAAAGAGCTGGCCAACTTTTTTTAAAAGGGCAGGGAGGGGCAGAAGGAGAGAGAGAATCTCAAGCAGGCTCCACGCCTAGCACAAGAGCCCAACTCGGGGCTTGATCTCACAACCCTGAGATCATGACCTGAGCCAAAACCAAGAGTTTGTTGCTTCATTGACTGAGCCACCCATGTGCCCCAAGAGCCAGCCAACTTCTTAACATTGCTCCTCTGCAGGAAATGTCTCTATTACTCCCAGTGGGGCTTTACATATTAAAAAAAACAAAAACAGAACTCCGGTTTTTATCAGTTTTACTATAATGTGCCTGGGTGCAGTTTTCTCTGTATTCAGTCTGCTTGAGATTTGTAGAGATTTTTAAAATCTGTGGCTTGATGTCCTTTATCAGTTTTGGACATTTCTTCAAACAGTATACCTGCTCTGTTTTCTTTTTTCTCCTTCGGGGGCTGTATTCACATGAGCATCAGTTCTTTTCATCATGACCCAGATGTTATTTACCTTCTTTTACCTGTTTTTCACCCATTCCCTTGTTTCCCATCCAGCTATTTTCCACTGGCCTGTCTTCCGGTTCACGAGCACTCTCTTCTGCTCTGTCTAATCTGTTGCTAAATTCTATTGGGTTCTCAATTTCAGTCATATTTTCCACATTAGGATTTCTATTTGATTTCTGGTTTCAGTTCACTGGTAAATTTTTATGCTTTATCCTCAGTTTCCTGAAACATATATGTTGCAGTTATTTACATTTCCTGACTGATGATTCCCATCCCTGAATGACCTGTAGACTGGTTTCTGTTACCTGCGTTTTCTCTTAGTTTCTGTCACTGCGTCCTGACTGGATGATGAGCTTGTGAAGAAAACACCACTGAGGCTTGGGATGGTGTTATTTTCCTCCAGGGAGGATTTAATTTTTTTCTGGCTGGCAGGTTGAGGGAGAGCAGGTCATTGTGAACTGCTCTGGGCTGGTGCATTTGGGGGTCGCTCCTACCCTGGGCTGCAGCTCCACCAGGCTTCTTGGCTTAGAAGAACTCCACAATCTTTTGCAGGATCCCCAATTTCCATGAGCCCCTGCTGGCCTCACCCCAACATTGGTGCAGACACCTGCACACACACTCTCATGTATCCTGCCATCTTTTTCAGATCGGCTGGTTTCCTTCAACATACGTAGAGGAGGAGGGCATCCAGTGATGGCAACAACATGGACAGGACTCGTGGGTTTTCTTGGAAGAGTCCAGCTCTGAAGTCTGTCTCTAGCCCCGTGACACAGAGGGGACATGCCTGCCAACCTTCCCGTCTTCAACAGCCCATAGGGATGGGGAGGGTGTTCAGAATCCTAAATGCGAACTGGCCCACCATCCGCCTGCCCTCGGTGGCCTGTCCTGGGTACGCTACTTGTACATAGAGGCGAGTTGGGCCGGCCCCGCCGTGGCTGCCACCGCCAGAGTGCTGAGGAGGGGGAGCGCCGGTGGTGTTCTGAGCCAGGCTCTGGGTGACAGCTGAGGCCGGAGTTCATCTTGCCTCTGTCCTGTTGCGACAGCATTCAGGAGCCTAGGTTTGAACAGCAGGTGCCATCCCAGGGAGGGCTTGAACAGCAGAGGGGACCCTCCCCCAGCCCCTTCTGCTCAGCCCTGATGCTCAGCCTGCCTGCTTTCTGCTGCTCCCAGGGGGAAGCTCTGGGCCTAGAGAGTCAGAAGGGACCGGAGCCAGGCCTTTTGCTGCAGCCCCTGCTCGGCCCCAGCTCAGCTCCAGCTGTGCTCGGATGTAGGAGAAAAGAGCACTGCTAGGGGGTCTGCGCGGGCCCCTTGACCTCCTCATGGCCCTCTGCACTAGGGAGGTGCAGAGACTGCCCAGGGCAGGTCCCTCTCTCAGGAGGGAGCTTTAGTGAACGATGAAGTTGCCGACCCTGCTCCCCAGTCAATGGTACTGTTCTTTGCCCTGAATCCCAGGCGTGTGTCTGTCCTGTCCTGCTGCCAGGTGGATACACCTTTTGTAAATCCTGATATGGGTGAGAAGAAAACAGAGTTTTCCCCTCGCTCGGGCTCTGCTGCTCACATTCCCCTCCGGGAGGAGGCCCCCCCCAGCGCCCCCCAGCAGGTGGCCCCTCTGGGACTCTTGTGTTCTGCAAGGTGGTTCCTGAGGGTCTTCCCAGCTTTTGCACAGGATGTTAGTTCTAGCCCTTGGCAAGTCTTCCCCCTGCAGCCCATGAACTGGGCCTGTGGCCAGCTCGAAATAAGTGCTCTTGGGGGTGGCCTTACCCCCGAACTCCCCCTCCTGACTCCTCCTGGCCTTTTGAGCTCTGGCTTTCTTGTCCAGACCCTTTTGCTCTGCCTGGATATTGCATTAGACCTAGGGATGTTGTCTCCCTGCAGGCTCTGTGCCACAGATGCTGGAGAAACCCGGGCTACACGTGTCCCCTGAACCTTGGTCAGCTGCCCTGCCCTGTGCAGGGGGAGGGGACTGGGCAAGGCTGGGCGTGGGGAAGGCTAGCCCCCACTGGGGTGGGTGCTGGTTGCCACTCTGCACTCCTGGGCTTCCTCCGAAAGCAGCCGTGTGGCCTCCGGGCTCGGCTCACAGGCCCCATGTCCCGGAATGGGGAGGTGGTGGGGAGCGGGTGGGGACAGTTAGCAGCAAGGGCAAGAGAGAAGGTGGCCTGCAGAGGCTTGAGAAGCCAGGGTGAACAGGATCGTGTTTGGGGGCAGAGGGGCAGGGGGAGGGAAGGAAAGAGCTGGTCTCGGAGAGAGCAGCCCCCAGTCCCCATCATCAGGGTGCACCCAGCACTTTGCGCACAACCCTGGGCTCAGCCGGCCCAGCCATGAGCCTGGGGTCGGGGGGAGAACCAGCCAGGCCCTTTCGTGTTTACTGTTGTCAAAAGGGTTTTGTTTTGTTGTTTTGTTTTTGGTTTGGCTTGTTTGTTTTTTAAGGGAAGAAAACAGTTTGTAATTATTTCATCCAAAGCTCTCATTCTATATCTGTGAATAATAAGGAAGATATTTTATAATAGCAAGAAAATGATGTATATTTGAGGTCATCATGAAACAAGTCATCACGACAACGAGGGATACTGAGGGAACAGAAGTCGGAACCCTGGTTTTTGTGAATGTTTTGTTTTGTTCTTGTTTGTTTTGAAACATGTATGTGGTTTGGTTTGGTTTTGCACTGCATGAGGCAGGAGGGGAGGCGGGCCGGGGGCAGGCTGGGAAGCGGGTGGTTTCAGCAGGAGATGGGAGGCCCTCTCTAGGGGCTTTGGACCTGGGGCCTGAGATTAGCTGTGAACACTTAGGAGCCCGATGCATGCGGGTCAGGGATCTGGGGGTCCCACAGCTGGTGACGACCCCAAATGGAACACAAACTGTACATTTGCCACTAGGTTTTTTCAGACCACAGTTTTTATTGCAAATAAACCTAAGTTCTTTTCTGCAGGCATGGCTGGATCCTTCTGTGTGTGTCCAGCAGAGACTGCTCCACTCACACACTGTCAGCCCAGGATACAGTGGCCTGGGTCAGGCATAGGCCTTGGGGGTGGCCCAGCCTCCTCCCAGCTGGCCCAGGTCCACGGACTTCCTGTGCAGTGTCCCATGGGACCCTCTAGCAGCCATCAGAGGCAATGCCGCTTTCTTCCCATTTGGGGGGGATTCAACCCTAGCCCTACCGCTCAGGCACGTCCTTCAGCTCCTGAGCCTGTTTCTTTATATGTGTATGTTGGAGATAAAAAATAATACTTCTCTCTGGAGAGTGGGTCTGTGGCCTATGATAGAGAAAATCTAGTCAGGCAGAGATTGATTTCTCCCTTATGGAGAAGCAGTCCAGACAAGGTAGAGCAGGGATGGCTTGGTGCCCCACCCCCCTACCCCAGGCTCCTCCCCTCTTCATCATGTGCCTTTATCCTTGCTGTGGCCTCATGGTCCAAGGTGGCTGCTGGAGCTCCTGCCATCAAGGCTGCGGGCAGAGGCAGAGGTCGACACAGTGCTTCCCTTCCCCTCCTTACCCAGAGCTGAGGCATATGGCCACTCCTGGCTGTGGTGGAAGATGGGGACTGCAGGACTTGAGCTGGACACATGGTCATACCTCCTCCCTATTACTGAGGAGACAGAAGAATACCATTGGGGTGGGTGACCAGCCCCAGGATCCACATCAGAGTTGTGAGGATCTCACTAGACTTGGAGTTGTGTTGGCGCTCAGCAAGTGTCAGATTTTGTTGCAAACCAGGGAGACAAGTACAGATGTTTGAGGTGACCCAGAGAGTGGTGGATCCCACCCCAGCCCTGGTCTCCGGGACCCAGAGCCCCAGAGTCTGGCTCACTCTGATGCCCCTGAGAACCAGATGGGAGGCCTGCCTTTTCTGGAGCAGCCCCCTCTCTGAGCAGATTTCTCAGGCATGAGGCCCCGAGAGGCCTGGTTGTCCCAACACCACCTCCCCCAAGAGCCAGCTCCAGCTCTGAGTTCTCACGCCCACGTGGGGGATGGACAGACCCAGACACTTGCTCAGCATTCCCCGGGCCAGTGGTCCCCGGCTGCCCTTAGCAGCGCTGAGCAAGTTGGAGAGAGCCCCAGGCCAAGAAGCAGAGAGCCGTGGTGCCTGGAGGGGAAGTGTGGGTGGACTTGGGGGGTGCTGGGGAGCTTTGAGGGAGAGCCTCAACAGCACCTGCTGTGCGGTCCAGACCCAGGAAGGGTGGGAAGCCCCAGGCCTGCTCAAGGGCCCCTGTGTGGATGGGGGCAGAGGCCAGGAGGGAAGAGGAGCATGTCTGCCTGAGGTCACCCCAGAACGTGGGAAAGCATCTCAGAGCTGCACACTTCTGGTCAGAGGGCCTGATGCCCATTGGGCTCTCAGGGCACCAAGGCATCATGCCCCTTAATTCTGACAGAGTGGACTTCCCTGGGTAGGGCCACTGCAGAGGCCGCCATGTGGAGCTTTAGGGAAGTTCCCTGGACAAGACATGGGAACCACCCACTTCTGGAGGTGAGGTAGACACCTCTCTCCACTCCTGCACCACAAATCTAAGAATGCCGTATAAAACACAAGAGAATAGAAGAGGCTGAGCTTGGAACAAGGTGACCTGTCCCAGAAAGAAGAGACACAAAGCCAGAGCAGATATTGGGAGCCAACACCAAGGTGGCTGCTAGGATCTCAGGCCCTCTGGGGTTGAGACCAGGGATTCCAACACTCAAGGCATTGGCTCCAGGACCTGGGAGACCAGGAGCCGGAACTGAGTTCCTGTGCAAAGCTGGGGATCTCGAGGAACACCTCCATCATGAAAAGGAAATTAACACACATGGGTAAAACCAAAATCACAGAATGGGACAAAGATTTTGATTGGTTTGTTAGCTTTCCAGAAATAAAAGAATACAAAGGCATACCATACCCTCGGACAAATTAACACAGAATGGTTAACCCTGGACTTCCAAAGATAAAAAATCACGAATGTAGACAATTTAAAACTTAATGTCATACCAAATAGATTTTAGAGCAAAACAAACAAAAGGTGTCACTAGAGTTTTAAAAGGCTTACAACATAATGATAAAGTTCTCATTTATTAGAAAATATCAGTTTTAAACTAGTATGCTTTTCATAATATAACCCCAAAATACATAAAGCAAAATTGACAGAAGAACAAAAAGAATGAGACATACCCACCATCATAGATGGGAGGTTTTAATACAACTTTTTCTCTTTATTTCTGTAACTAAAAAGTCAAGCAGACATTGAAACAAGAAAAAGTAAGGATAGAGAGTAGAATAACATAATTAGCTATTGCATGTACAGAACATTGTGGCCTCTTGCAGAGTACACATCATCTCCATGAAGATACACCTCACACTGACCCAGAAAGCAGATGTCAATGGATTTCAAATCCTATAGTTTAGCTTCTCTCACTCACCATGAGGAGTGAGGTTAGAAATCAGTAATGAAGGGGCGCCTGGGTGGATCACTCGGCTAAGCATCCAACTCTTGATCTCAGCTCGGGGTCTTGATCTCAGGGTCATGAGTTCAAGCCCCACGCTGGGCATGGAGCCTACTTAAAAAAAAAAAAAGAATAAATCAGTAATAAAAAATACACAAGAAACATCTATATGTTGGGCAAATTAAGAAACATACTTCTAAATAATTAATAACCAAAAAAGAAATTCAAGGAAATTATAAAATATTTCAAATGTATTCTTTTTTTCCTTTATTTTTTCAAATTTATTCTTAAATTTAAAAGGATAAAGATAGTTGATAACACAACTTGTAGTATACTACTGAAACTGAACTTGAACTGAAATTGGTGACCTTGACAGCTTGTATTACAAGAGCCAAGGACTGGAGGTAGGCTTTCCTTCTTTCAGGCTGAAACAAAACGTTGATTCCTTGAACAAAAGTTTTATGTCTCCGTTAAGCATGTTCAAATTATCTATTTAAAATGTAATTTTTCCAAGTAGAAAATTACAAATGTATTAAATGTGCACAAATTACAGGGTTTTGAAATTGCAGTTCTTGTTCCAATGGCTCTGTCCTCCTGTGACTTGTCTCCACTGTTGGAGGAGGGGATGGTGGTGGGGAGCTCCCATGATAAGATTTTACAACATTTGTGAGTTCAGCTTGGACTCCTATTTTTTGGTCATGGCTGTTGTGCTTATATTCCCTAACAATTTAGTTTTGGTCCTTTATTTTCCCTAGAAAAAGAAAACCCGCATGTGCCCATGGGATCTATGTGGGAGTTTTACTCACTTGGAATTCTCTCTGGATAATCGTTCCACATCTTGACACTTAATGTGCTGTTGGAGCTGTAATCAGATGGGTGTAGCAGGACCCCTAGCCACAGTGCTCTGCAGCCCCACACCAATCAATGTAAGGCTTGGTCTGTTAGGATTACGATCTGGCCATGGGTGATAGCCTATAAGACAAGAGATGGTTATTTCTTGCTCACCTAACAGTCTGGGTAGAGACCCTGGCTAACAGTGTCAGGGACGCAGGTCTTTCTGGGGTTTTTTTGGTCCCTTGGGTGTGCCCTCATAAGTTCACCGCATGGTCCAAGATGGGACTTCAGCTCCAGCCCCTGAATCTACATTCCAGCCAATAGGAAGGAGAGGGACAGGGAAGGGATATGACCATGTCTTTTGAAGAACACCTTCTGAAAGTTTCACTCACTAACTCCCATTGGCCATAACTTGGTCATATGGCCATACCTGGGCTGCAAAGAAGGCTGGGAAAGGTAGTCTTTATTCTGGGTCTGATTACCCTAAAAGGATGAGAGAATGGGGAAGGCAGGGAGGTGAATAGCCTCTGCCGACGAAGACCCATGACCATGAGGGGTCTGCGGGGCAAAGACAGGTGGTCAGATCCCTTTGAGGCATGTCTTGCTGACGGATGAATAATCTTGATTCATGGGGAAAAGAATGCTGAGCTTTCTCATTCTCCACGGTCCAAGCCTACTTGGAATCTGAAAAGCACCCTGAATAATCCTCCATTCACTCACATAAGCGAGCTACACCTGTGTCGTGTAAGGGGGTCAAACCATGCACACTTGGAAGAGAACAGAGGTTTTTATTTCAACTGCCTCGGTGACTTTTTGGTCTGACATACTTTGTTTCTTAGGAGAAGAAATCTCTTCTGACACCCCCTCTAAACCCTAACCCACGTGCTGCATGCGTGCATCTGTTTCCCTCCCTGGTTAGTGAGCTTGGCAGGCTCAGCAGAAAAGGGGCAAATTGTACTCCCAGGGTCGAGACAGGCAGCCTGGCCAGGTGAGAGCCTCTTGTTTGTGGGTCCTGCACTCGGCTCCACCAGCTCCTGGGGAAGCTGTTGTCACCATTTGGGAAAGGTCACAGCTTTGTGTCACACTCCAAAGTAGGAATGTCCCAGACACCACTGAGACATCATGTCACAGAAATATTGAAAGCAGAGCAATGGGAAAAGGTGCACCAGGCAGGTGTCAGAGAAGGCGGAGAGACCATTGTTGGTACCAGACATAAAGCACTTTGGGGCAGAAAGCATTCTTGTGTGTAAAAAATGTGGTACGTCAGAACTGGCTCGTGCCGGCTCCCAAGAGCCGGTCCTGTGTCCTTTCCAACTCCAGATTCAGTGACTCCTCACTGGCAGCTTGACATTGGCCCTGGTGAGAGTGTTTACACCAAAGACATCAGCCAACGCTCTCCACTGGATAAAGAGGTCCATTATTTTATGATAAAAAGGGACAATTAAATGTGAAGCTAGAACAGTCCTGGAGCTTAATAGACTTCACAACATAGCCTTAAAATATAAAAGAAAAACTGGCAGAATTATAGGGAGAAATGGACACATCCTACTAGGAAAGGGGTCTTACACTGCTCCCGGAAACCAAGACAAAGCCAACAGCCATCGGGAAGGAAGCTCCCTGCCAGGGGCATGTTCCGTGAGAAAAGTGTGAGCCCAGACTCTGAGCCCAGGCTGTCGGTCCCAGT